AAGAACATGGTTCCATTCATACTTCCAAGGCAGATCTCAGGTAGTAAAGTTCGTGGATAGTCAGGGTGTAGTCAGGATGTCAGAAGTTATTCTATTGGACAGAGGTGTTGTACAGGGATCAATATTGGGCCCAATACTTTTTTCCATATACACCGCTAGCATTGTTAAAGCAGTGACTCACTCACAAATACACTTATATGCAGATGATAGTCAGTTGTATGTTCACACTTTACCAGGTCAACATGATGTTAGTACTGCAGTTAACAAATTAAATATAGATCTGACATCAATAACAGAGTGGTCAGTAAAACATGGTCGTACACTTAATCCCAATAAAAGTAGTACTATTACATTTGGAACTAAACGACAAGTTAAAAATATTAATAAATATAAACCGGCAATTAAACTTAGCAATATTATTATACCATATCAAGATAGTGTACGTAATCTGGGTATCCTCATGGATGAGCATCTTAAATTTGAACAGCATATCCGAAGTAAAGTAGCTAAATGTTAAAAATGCTTTATAAGTTTCGTACGTTTCTCAAACGAGACATAAGACTATTATTATGCAATAGTCTAGTATTATCACTAATAAACTATTGTGATATTGTTTATAGTCCTTGTATGATTGCAAAAACTGCCAAAATAAAACAAAGAGTACAGAATGCTTGTATGAGATTTTGTTACAATATACCGCGGTGAGATCATATTACACCTTATTTAATCAGAAATAATATATTAAATTCACACAATGTCTGTATTTTAAAGTATGCTTGTCTTTTGCACTCCATAAGGAATACAAAATTACCTTCGTATTTATATGTAAAAACTAATGTTTATAAATCTAAAATAGAGTCCCTTAGAGACAGATGTCATCAGTTTTCTAAACCTTTCATCAAGCTCACAAGAACTAGGGGTTGTTTTAAGTATGCTGCAGCAAAAATTTGGAACGACTTGCCCCCGCCAGTTCGTTCATCACTGATTTTATCCTTACCAATATTTATTTTTTAGACGCAAATGTAGCAAATGGTTGCTGCAAGAACAATTCCTCGTTTCGTAGTATTGTAATTTACTAAGTTGTGTCGATATATGTGTGTACACGCAAGTCTGCGTCTGATGGTATATATGATAAAATAACCCCGAATAATTCTTAGATTTTATTTAATGTTGTAACTAATCCTGAATAATGTTTAGATTATATATATTTAAGTTTGTTATTGTAAATTTTTATGTTTACTTTGTTAGTTGTAGTTTAAAACTTAATATGCTATCGTTGTCGTCGATCTCACATTGTATTTTACTGATAAAGGCTATAACAGAATAGCAGAGAGGGTGGACTCACTGCCCTCACTGAGTTATAGGCCTTTTTGTCTCATTAATTAGTTTTTAAATTATATTATTCAATGGGCAATAGTTGTATTGTGTAAAAAGTTTATGTTTGAGACAAATAAAGATTATTATTATTATTATTATATGAGCAACATCAGCGGTAATGGTGTATACTGTATCTCTTAAGCCTATCTGGTTATCTTCCACAGGTGAACAGAGCATGAAGACAGGTTTAACTAACCCATCACGATGGTTTCCAAGATTGAATGCTTCAATATCTACCCATAGTACACTAGGGCCACAATTTTCCATTACTAACAATCCCCTCACCGCTATAACAAGCGCTGAAAAAGACTAATAAACGTAAAAATTGGGAAGGACCAAATATACTGCATGACTTGTCAAATATATAGCACTTTGTTGAAAGTGTTGAAACACTTAGTTCTAAGCGAGCAACGTCATTGGGTCTAATAGTAGTTGGGTCTTTTTCGAATACCGGGGTAATTGGCCGTCAAATCCATGACCCCGATATTACAAAATCTTATATTCGTTATTCGATAATTATGAAAATATATACCTTTGTAAAATTTAGAAACAAACATTATGAACATTTTAAAATCTGGTATTATTTTAGTATATCTAATAATAAGTAGATACTCCAAAGTACATAAGGTTAAGTTATTTACTGTTTACTCAAAAAGTGAAATAAAATAATGTGCAATATCCCGTTATTCTTTAATATAAGTTCATCTAATGGCAGGTGTACTTAAGAATTGATTATTTTATAGCAATGTTTATTTTCCTGTTTACAATTATTTGTTAATGCGTAACTACTACTAACTAAACGTAGTTTATTTTGTATTTGATTTGAGTAATTTAAGTGTAGGTAGTACCAACCTACTATGTAGGTACTAATAATTTGCTGAAATATTACTTTTAAAGTAAAAAGAAGTCAAATATTACTTAGTTACTTAGTTTTCTATGTGTATTAAGTATACATTTGTAAAAAAAATATTTCTATCAGTTGTTTAATACTTGTAAGACAAACGGCTTATCTTGAGACTGGTAGTACCTACTAAAATTGTATGGAAATAAGTTTTTAGAAATGATATATTTTTTTAACTAAATATAACAGATATTTTCACTCTGTAAAATTCAAAATCTAGCGAGTATATAGTGTACTAAAAAACATCTTTCCTTATCATTGCAGTTGTTTAATTGGAGCAGAGTAATAATTTACAGTATGTCCAAGTCTGTGATTATTTTATTATCGTTCAAACAATAACAATATTATGGTCTTCATCTACTTATTATTACATATATTTATATTAAATATATAAAGCAACATAGTAAATCAATACTTAGCAAACATTATAAACAAAACTGGTACCCAAGCCTCTACATTGCGGATTGAAGAACTACATCCTTGAACTACATCCTTATGAACATTTTGAAGTATTCTCAATCCAAAACTTTGCGTGTCCACATCAGTTTCATTGTTAATAATGTTAACGAAATAAGACTTGTCAAGAAAAGATGTTTACCTAAAAGTTTTAAGGTGTTCTACCACCAGTTCATCTTGTAAGTGTTGCCACCGTTGTAAAGGTATCCTTGATATACTTACTATTGATAAATTTAAATGTTTAAATGTAACCGTTAAATGTGTATGTGTGTGGTTAGAAAAAACACTACATAAATAAAACAACATACGTAGCTCATTGCACGTTATACAGGAGATGAGCGCGCTGGGGCGGCAGCGCCGGCGCGTGCTTGCCGGTGGCGGCGATGGCCAGCTCGCGGGCGACACCACTCGGCACACGGGCGCAGATCGAAAGTTCGATGCGAGATCGAGCGCGCATATGTAAATATCGGCACATTTACAAGCGAAAGGGTTCACCAGAGCGGCGCACTAACGCAGTGCTGCGCGGGAACCAGTCAAGTGAGATTCCTACGGCGTCCGATAGAAAAATGTCGAACGAGCTTCGGGTCCATCACTCGGCGCGGGTGTCTGATACGCAACGCGGCCACCGCTCGACTGCCGCCCTCCTCTCACCGCCACACTGCTGGTATATTTATCGCTTAATTATTGAACTCGTCTGTGTAACAATTATGAAGCTCGACGAGTGGCAGGCGCTGGCGGAGGGTGTACGGCGCTACCAAGTCTGCGCTCGCGCATTGCGTCACGTCACATGCAGGCGCAGCACCACACGCCGCTGCCGCGCTGCACACCTTCTACACCTCACATCGGCACACAACGACGGCATCGCATAAAGGTACTTGCGGAGGTCGCAATGGTACCTTACATCGACATATGTCACGCCACATGGACATCAACCTTCAGATTTTATCACTATCAATTAAGAGCCAATCAGCTGTTCACCTGTTATTTATTTTATCCATTAACCTCCAATTTATATCAATAGATATCATTCTCAAGCTTCTGTTTCCGCGGTAGTTATTTATAATTATCATATTATTGCACAAAACTATAAGCGTTAGTATATGTATGTAGATAGGGGTACCTCCATATCTAATATTACATGTAGGTACCAAGTTGAATACTCATTATATGTGCAGATAAGCTACAAATTATTACTCGTAAACATTTATTCATTACATATACTTCTGATCTTATCATATTCAGTCGATTTTGCTAAATACACAATTCACATGATGAAATGATTGACGATAATATATTCAGTCATTAGACTATATTTACCAGTACTATATTTCGGTAAATTTTTATATTTCCCTTTTAGCGACCTAAAAACTTCCTTCAATTCTAATACACGAAAAACGTAGATTGTTTGTATAAACGTAATGTTAAATGCAGCATGTATCATGGCTATATAGACAATAATATTGGAAGGGTAAGGATGGACAAAGAATCCTGCCTGGGGGGAAAGTGATTGTTAGTAATGTGAATTAATTAATCCATTGCTAGCAATGGATCAACAATAGATCAACTTTACATGGTTATGTAAGGTTGACCTCCACGGGGTTCCCATGGAAACCATCGTGATAAATTCTTGGTGAATTTGTTACAATGGTCTAACTGACCTGATTTCATGCTCATCTTATCATCCACCACTGATGTCCCGCCAGCGTAAACCGTTAGTGCAGACGGGCGCATCATTCCATTATCATTAATTAAAAAAAACCCTTTGCCCCGGGATCGTTTCCCGGTGCAACAACATACAAATGGGTGGGTGTAAGCGGGTACTTTTTTGTAAGGTACTATTTTGAAACCTGTAAATACACCATCTACATGATCAAAAACATATTTATTGTTAAAAAAAATCTGAATTCGTTCTTCCAAAAACAAGTTAAATATAAGGAATATTGTCTTTTATAATTTTTATGAAAAAAAAATTTAATTATAATATTTATTTTAATAATAGTTTATGTATGTATGTTATGTGTTTATATTTTAAATGCTTTATACATAAAGCTTTTTAATTTTCACTACTGGTAACTTGTAACTTATAATTTAATCGTAATTCGTTTGTTTTTTTAGTAATTTCCTTTTCGCCGGAACCAAAGGAAGGGAAAAAAATCATTTATTTTCTTACTGTAATGAAGGAAAGAATGGGAACGTAGTGGATAATGTGCCTAAATGCAAATTATAAAAATGCTGTCATTTATGACATTTATTTTTGACACAGAAGGAATAAAAATTCACTCTCTAACACTCTCTAAACGCGTAGCCTACTGTCAAAATCAAGGTCGATTTCTGGAAAAATGCAATTTATTTGTTACACTGCGTAAATTATTTAATTATTTGTATCTATCCAAAATGTATTCTAGATTGAAAATAAGGTAAATGAATATCTTACGTTGCTAAATATTTACATTTCATCATTCATACTTGTCAAAACATAACTTAATTCAATGTGTATAATTCCTACATTTTGGTGCATAAATGTTTTACCAAAGTTTTATTTGTAAGCCTACTCTTAATATGCAGATCTTTAAACTTTGCTTCTGCTAATTCCAGATGGTGTGGATGTCCTAGAACATCTGGAGTACTTTGTAGATATTTGAGTAGTGCCGAAATTTCAACTGCTCTACGACCTTTTTACTTTAGTGTTCATCCTGATCTTTTTGGAAAATATCCAGAGCAAAGAGTGAGTATTTTAATACTATGTTATACCGGGTCCTGTGTGAGGTGGGCAGAGAAAAAGTTCATTTTTATTTTATGTTACCCTTAACTTAAATACTTTTTAGTTTAGCTATTTATAATTTTTTTATATTGTCTAGGAAACACTTTCTCCCAGCCAGAGGCTTATTTCGTCAATTAATTTCTCCTTGTTGAAACTTTCAAAAAGTGTTACAAAGCCTACTGAAAGTCAGTTCTGCTTCCGAATGTGGACTGAGGAGCGGGGCCCTCAATATTTATCTCCCATCTCAAATTGCTATCTAATCATAGTTAAACCTATATATTGAAGATAAAAAATAGTCAGCTGGCTGTAGTGTGTACATGTCAGCTGATGGCATAACAAACATGTAAAGAAATCTGCGATTTCTTCCCACACCAAAATTTGTTAGATGTTAATTTATGTGCTGTTTTGAATAAATAAAATTGTTAACTGTATATATAGACAAGCTTGTCCATATTTACTTTCATGTAGAATCAACTAATGTGTTTGACAATAAATTAATTTTGATGAAATTACAAATTTTCTCTTAAGTTCTCTTAGAGACACATTTTAATACCCATTATTTTCAGTTCAGTATCCTATGTATATTATATGTATATTATAAATAACCCTTTTGAATTCTTTATGATTTCATTATTTGTATCTAAATATAAAATAATTTCTTGTTTATTAAAAAGTATTTTATGAATTTATTTTAGAAAATCAATGAGAATTCATTACAACAATTAAGTGCTTTAATAGAGGCTCAGCAGTCTAGTCGAAGATTATCAATACCTCCTTTATCATTTTATTTGAGACAAAAGAATATGCCTGAAGGTAAAATATACATGGACACAAATGTTTTAGTTGTAGACATCATATTAATGCTATTACTAATATCAGTTTAAAATTTTAGGTGAATTTAAATTAGTAAAAATTAGTTTAAATGGTAACAATGTAAGAGAAACAGTAGTCAAAGTATTAAATGCCTGTGATATGTCAACAAAGTTTGTAGACAAAATCCCGAAAACTTCTTCAAAAATTGAGATAAGGTGAATAAACTTGATTTAAATTAGATATAAAGATATAGAAATAATATACAATAATGATATACAAAAAAATTAATATATATGTACTTGAAGTTAATATATGTACTAAGAACTTTGTATAAATTTTCAGTACACCTGACTTTTCTAAAGCCTATCAAGAATATGCAAAGGACTTTGAAAATGTGACTAGAATGAAAAGAAAAGTTGAAGAAAAGAAAGCCATTAATAATATTGTGTAAGTGTGCTTATAAATAATATGGATAATATTTTTATGTACAACAAACTATAACATATAACTTATGTGAAACCAAACAATGTAACTTATGCTTATTAACTTATGTTTAAAATACAATTGTACATCTTTTGTTATGCCAGAAGTATTTATAAAATTGTTTATATAATTGCCTCAAATATTAAAACATAACATATAAATAAACAGTGATGTATGTTTCAGTGAATGGATCATTGAAAACAGTGTTATAGCAAAAGAAAAGTATGAATCGACATCTGCCACAAGAGATCAAGTCAAATGTTTGAAAGAACATCTTTGCAATACTTATGGTATAAAAGAAGTTGGTAAAGCTTAAATAACAATACTGTGTTTAGAATAAGTAAACTATTCTACATACAGTTTTATATAAATAAAATATTTAATTAATACAGATAGATTATTTGAGTCAGAATGACGTTTTCCATCTCTGTTAACCAGAGAGTGTCAGCTATTTTTATCTCACTTAATTAATAATAAAACAGAATGTAAGGTTTTATAACAACTTATATAATTATTTTATATGAATTTCTAAAAGTTTGTATATTGCAAATCCTTATATTAAAATTAATAGTTGTTTTATATCTTTAGGTAAAATACGATAATGGTTGGAATATAAGTCATATACGAGGGGCGCTACAAAGTCTGGTATCACTTGCCACCCAACACTCAAATGAAATGACCAATCTAGAAGGTTTGTAGACTTTATTACTTTCTATTACTGTTTCATGCCTGTTGTCTCACTGTTAAATGAAAATATGCTTAATAATTATATTTCAGGTAGAATTATAGCTTTAGGGCAATTTACTGGAGTAAGTTTAGATGGAGATGTATACCTCAATATAATTGATGTTAGGAATGAATGGCTTTCGGTGAGTTTTTGAATATATTTTTATTACTATTAGCAGTGGGGATCAATGGCATAGTAGCCATTTTTAGTTCGAAAAACGGATTTAGATGGCGTCATTGGTATCGAATGGAATTCAACATTGTTTTGTAATCGTTTAAAACCCAAAACTATGTTTTTAAAAAGGTTTAATCTATTTTTAAAAAGTCATATATAGATGTTAAAATGAAATAATGCGTTTTGAAAAGTAATTTTCATATATTTACTCATTTTGTTGTTGCCCTGTATTTGTTTACAATTTAATCATTGCTAATTGGGGCTTATTGTTTCCAAAATACTTTCATAGATGACGCTGTTTTCATTTGTATCACCGTATTTTAAATGTTTATTTTATATTTTCAAATAATAAGTACTTACTATATTATTATGATAAATTAAACATAAAAAAAGTTTAAGTAAATATAAAACAGCTAAACAAGAAAACCATATTATTCCAGTAATACTTATTTAGAAAGTGTTGCCATATTAAAAATAAATGCATAGATTTATCGATTTTTTCGAATAATCGATAACAGGATATTACAACGCATTATTCGATGGTGCTTTTAATTAGTCTTTGCAAACAGTAAAATTTCATCATTTTGTATTATACTCTTATTTGGAACGAATTGCAATGCATAATTTTTACTCGACGACGGCAAAATAGAGAGATTTTGACAGGTATGCAAGTACTATATATTTATCTGTTCGCTCATAACTTCGAAACTTGAAGAGGGAAATATTAATTAGATTGATCTGATACAAGTGTACTCTATTATATCAACCTCCACGCGGTCACCCTGGTAATTATAGCAATTAATGACATTAGTGACATAGTTCTTCTATTAAAAAAAATAAATACCTACTTATTATAATTTAATGAATGAGAATTGAATGTGGTATAGAGTATATAAGGTCAGCTATACCTTTATGAAACCTCTATAAACAAGTGTTATATGGTATCTAAATTACTGACATTGATAGCTAAATATGAGGATCCTCGAATTTTTAAAAATACTCATAAGAAACTTTACAAATACTCGAATTTTGCTTTTGTAGAAGGATATTTTCAACCTTACTAAATTGTACAAGGTTTTGAAACGATAATCATTCATAATACTATGATATATTACTGATCCTAGTACCTACTATTCATGATAATTAGTTTTTTAATATCTCCATTCAAGGGTAGGTTATTAATAATTTATATTATTAGATTTCATCACAAATAAAAATATCGATTTAAAATCGTAGGTTGGTCCATATTTTTTTATTATATCGAAATGACAACGAGTACTGGCAACATAAATGAAATGTTAAAAATATAAAATATAGGAATAAAAGAATAGGATAAACGACTTTAAGTCAAATGCTTAAAACATATTTTCACTAGCATTGGATTTTTTCTCTTTTTTCATCATTTAAGTTAAGTAGGTACTTCAACTTTTGAATTGTCCCTGTTCAGAGTTCATTGAACTTCTTATTTTTTGTCAAACTCAATAATTTAAATGTGTCTAAGGACTACTACAAATATTTAGTAAACTATCGTGTCTTTGAGGATTATCTCATACCAGGTAAACTTGCATATGTATGCGTGTGTATCTTTCATATTAAAATATAATAAACATAGGTACTTGGTGACCGCTTTAATGTGGTATTATTATGTTTTTATTATTGGTATGAATGTAACTTCAAAAAACTAACACTGATTTTATAATTTTTGATTGATTGAGAAAATACTGAAAATTATTAATCAAAATAAAGTACTAAACAGTAGTATTATTTTTATATTTTATTAGAACTGAATGAATATGATGTATGAATAATATGTTTATTGTACTAATAAGGTTACAGTTTAGTTACTTTCATGTAAATTAATTCATGTAAGTTCATGAAAATGTAACATGGTATATGATATTGTTTTCAGATTTTCCTGACATCAACAACTTAATACTGAACAAAGTTTAAACAAATAAGAGATGATATTCTAAATCTCCTAGTCATTCAGATGAAGATAAATAACATTTTTACTGTAAAGAACAGGAGTTCAAAAGAATAAAAAAAATAAATATATATATATATATATATATATATATATATATATATATGAACATTTTACTGTATAAAATAATAATGCAAGTAAAAATAAGAGAAAAAAGCAGAAGAAAAATCTGTAAATTATTAATCACAATGCAATTAATAATATAATTAAATAAGTAAGAAAGCAACGGACTAGTGATGAGAAGAAATTCCAAGTAATTATATTATGTGTAACCGACTGCAAATAAGTTTATGATTTAAGCTCATGATTATTATTATATTGCTTCATCAACAAATCCAGGAATATTTTGTGTACCAGAAATTAATTATGAAATGATTTTGATGAAATATTATGTCTTGATATTGATTTATTTGGAATATAATATAAAAATAACAGAAGTGTTTGAAGTTTTAGTGGTATAACAGACAAGCAGTGAAAGAAATATTATTGTAAATTATTAACAATTGTTTATTCTGTGATTAATAAATTATTTAAAAGTGTTTTATTACCTGAAATAAAAATGTTACGATCTTCAAGTGTTGTGTTCATGCAATGTTAGTTTCACCTCATTCGATTTAAAATGTCAGGAATTATTTACTACATAATGATTTTGTATTAGATGGTAATCATATATATTTTTTAATGCAATGTGTATAATAATTCCCATTTACATCAAGAAACTTTGTGTAAATCTATATTTCTCTGTCTATAGACTTTGGTCGTGGAATACTAATAAGAAACAAAATCTAGAGACTGTAGTATATCACAGCATCCCAGAACCTTGTATTTAAGTCATATAAGGACTTAGTACCTACCTAATACTTGCTACTTTTTTAATCAATTAATTAATTTGATCTCAATCATCATGATGAACAATGATGATAATGTTGAGAATGCTGCCAATGATGAATTTTATGGTGGTCATAAATAAATGCCACCGTCACTATCGTCAACAGTCATTGATCATTCATTTGATCTCATCATCGTCACCGTCACCCTCCTTCATCCATATTGTCAAAAGTTACTACCTACTATTATTAACTGAAATGGTAAATAAGCTGACGATCCATCCAACCACGACGCTATCCGACGTACATACATACACATATATTATTAAACAGCATTACGTCATCATGTCGTGCCCGCTATATCCCGCATACGTTATCATTCCGGAGAACATAGATGTTATGTCCAAATATCCTGTAATTTCGCAGCTTAATTTCAACTGAATAACAACTTACATAAATACCAAAAAACTAGCAGTAAAGGCGTAGTTTGTAGATATCGAAGGTTCTACAAATAGGTATAACATCAAAATAAGTACCTACATGTCATTAGCACCGATGTAGTATCCCTGAAAGAACCTACATATAACAGATTGATGGTTTGCAGATATTATTTTCAGTTTTACAAATTGCCAGTTTACCATAATTAACTACATATAATTAACTACAAATTGAGAAATAATTATACACTGAAAATTATATTATAAATTGATTATAGCTAAAATCTATCACTATCACATAACAATTTATATAAAACAAAACCGTATTAAAATCTTAAACCGATCTTAAACCGACCGAACCGAAAACTCCTTAACCGATAGCCCGATTTTAGTGCAGACGCGTTACGACATATCTTCGTCGGGAGAAAAAAAGTAGGCATGTAAAAAAGTAACTGTAACATAGTACATAGATACATAGGTACATTAGCCGTGTCTGTAGACTGTCAGCGAACAATATTATACCTACATTGAATTTTCGATTGTACCCAATCAGGAGTTCGATACAGTTATATATCTATTATGTACGTATCTTTGCAAAACAGATGTCATGTAGACCGAATTCTCTGCCATCTATTTTCATGCTTTATTACTAATCACCCACTAGTAATCCAAACTGCTTCAGATATAGCGACATCTAGCGCCTACGGCGGCGAAATAAAATAGCCCGAAGAATAGCCCGAGTTAGGAAGGAACCATTTTCTTGTATGGGATGGGGTATCTGTATGTAATATTATATTATCTGTGCTATTAGTATATTTAGAAGAAGATTACTTAGTTTGCAATCTATATTATTATAATAACATTGAAGTTTATTTGAATGTAGTAAATTCATTTGATAAATATGCTTACATTAAGCTTTACTACTAAATAAATATGTTATTTATCAAATATGTTAAAACAATATTCTATTCAGTATGAGAGGAGTATGCTCTAAATACAAGGCTCAGCTGAGTGTCCATCCTAATAACTAACTAGCTCATTAGGGTGGAGATTATTCACTAATAACCCCTAAAACACTTAACACATAAACATGTTCTTTATGTTTACTAGTGTTGAATAGAGAGCAAGTTCTCAATTTCTAAATATATCGCCAGAAGGCCTATAGGAATAAATAAATAATTGTATATGTATATCGAGACAACTGTAACATAATTATAACAAATGGTGTTTTCTGTTTAATTACAGTTAATAAAAAAAGTTAGTCAAGAAGACAGTGCTCTGATTGAAATACCTAAATATGAGAAAGCATTATCTAGTATTCTAAGAGACATACATATATGTAGAAGGTATATAATATATATAAAGTATTTTATTAATAACAGGCTTATTATTTTCCCATGCATACAATCTTCAACTTAATTTCAGGAAATTTATGCCGAAAGTGTCCGCGTTTCAGTACTGTAATCATCTCAGACAATTGATCACTTCTATTGGCGACTTTTATGGCCACGGTAGCAAGTTTCCATCATCTGTACCAGAATCTCTTAGCAAATATCAAATAGTTGTAGAGCCGTAAGTATCTACAATACTTATAGAACATTGAACAAATATACATAGATCATAATATTGTAGAAATAAGTTTATTAAAAATAAACATTTCATCCATTTTATATGTGGTTGCTTTTAGGTAATCAAATATATTAAATGCATATCATCAAGTAAAGGTCTGCCATAGAAATTGCTTCAATTAATAATTTCATTCTATTTGAGCTATAGACAGCATGATAATTACATGAAATACCAACACAAATTCAACTTGGTGCACTTAATTATGCTCTAATAATCGTCAGTATTGCTGGTTCCATTTGTTTAGCAGGTGATTTTACTTTAACTATTATCCTGCATGCATAACCTACATTTGTTTAATAATTATATTCTATTAAATTATTTCGAGTGCGATACTAATTCACCTAAATATTGTTTACAAGTCTCAAATCAACAATATAAGACTGTAGAAAATATGATGTGATTACATACAGTCGATGCTCAATCGGCATAACTTAAATTATTCCCTCAGCCGCTTTACAAATATACTATTAGGAAGAGCATAATCAATAACATATTCATAAGTTTTATGTTCAGTAAAGTAACTAATATCATATATTGCTTTATCTGTGTTGTACTAACTAAATGATTGTGTGACCCTAATAAAATTATGGTATCCAAATAAGTTTATAGAAGCTCCCATATAATTAGACAGTGAAATTATAGGACTATCTTCCAGAGGACTAAGATGTCATACCTCTTATATGTATGACCTCTTAGTCCCCTGGAAGGGCAAAGGATGAATACTATCACGGATGTCGCATAACATGATGTCCGACAGTGCTGTTTATGTATACAGGCGACGGTTACAGCTTATCATCAGGTAGGCCATCCTATCTGGTAGTAAGCGGTATTACATTCCAATTAGTCAATTACATTAAAAAAAAAATTCTACGCTTATACTAATCACTTCCAAGTTGATATAAATTACACTTTCAGAGAAGCAGGCCCTTTAATGGTGTCGCCAACTGGTCAATTCATTACTCCGTCGTCGTGTCCCGCCGGTGAGCTCATAGCGTATATCGGCAAGCATCTGGATGAAGCAACATTACTCATGACAGAGTATAACATGTAAGGAAAATTAATGTAATATCCAAAGGTACATTAAGAAATCCAAAAATTGGACATATCATCAAATCGAACTCTGCTTTCTTTCCAATCTTTTTTAACAATGGGACAATTTTAAGTTTTCCTATTTTCAAAGATTAAAACTAATAATAACCCTGGACGATTAACACAGCGCCATATAGTCCCAAGGTAAGCAGAGTATGTATTATGTGTACTAGACAAGTGAAATACTTAGATTTTTTTTATAAATACGTATATAGCATACATAGAAAAGATCCAGACTGATACGAACAATCGTACTTATGAATAAATGTTTGCACAGTGTGAGGAATCGAACCCGCGACCATCGAAAAGTGTACTAAACCGGTAGATATCCGAGGCTGCCGAAACTGATTTAAAAAAATGGAAGAAGTATACCAATTGACTTTCTTGCTAGTTCTTCTCAACTAAAGTACATAGCCAAACTGTAGTAATACTGTTAAATGATGACTTGCATAACAGGTCCTGTATGTAATGTTTTAAATTTCAGAAATAAACATGTCGAAAAAGCGCTTTATAAAGAAGTACTTGAACGCTTTGGACTTTTAGAGTTGCACAAAGATGATAGCATTACTCCAGGACTTATGATTCTCTGTTGTCAAAGATTGCTAACTAGAAGTGATAAGCTTCATATGGTGAGTATTTACTATATGCAATGAAATCCATTAAACAACACATTAGCGTTAATCAAGATAGCATATAAATAATTACCACTAATAATATACTAATTTTGTACCCTAAGGGCGCCTTCAAATTAGTCGCAAAGAGCCGCGCGGTGGTAGCGCGTCTGCAGCGCTGAAGCCGCACTGCTGTCGCTAGGTTTGCGAATCGTAGTGTAGTACATAGTTTTACGATAGACTCATCGATAGATTCATCAAACTTGTACAAAAAAAATACGTGCGTGCAGTCACTAGTAGATCAATGAAAAGTACGGGATCGCAGCGCGGGCTGACGCGCTGCCACCGCGCGGCACTCTGTTGCAAATTTGAAGACGCCCTAATAATAATAATAAAGTATCAAATATAATAACAAGACCAAAAACTCGTATTATTTTCATAAAACTGTTGTTGCGAATTACACCAACTGTAACTCTTACCTTTTTTGTTTCAGAAGTTACAAGGCAATATTTTATATATAACACATTATTATTCTGTATTATCTGAAGGAATATTATGTATACCCTGGAATTTCAAATAACCAATACTAGTATAGCAAAATGTATACTGAAATGTTACCATTTGATCTAAAATATTTACTATAGCAACTTGTTAAATAATACAAAATTGTGATTTGAATATATTTCATATATTTATATTTAATATTATAAGAACAGTCTTCAAAAATTTTATTTAGTATAAGTAGCTTTTTAGAAAATTTGACACAAAGCAAAACTATTTAAATGTACAAAGTATTTATAAGTTTCCATTTTGTTGCTTAGACAAAGCTAAAACAGTACTTTCATATATATCAAAGAATATGGAATCTCATTTGCAATTGTTTCATATTTTTTTCAATGTTCTGTTCAATGCTAGCCTTTACAAGCATTTCTACAGTATCAATATGATTTTTTTTCTTTCACGGTTCTGTTTAGTGTTATGGATACTAGCAACCAGAGATGTCGGAATACAGGATTGTGTACTCATTTATAAAACTTAATTCCATTGACCACAGAGTGAATTAATCCAAATATGCTATGTATTTATTATTAGGAGATTTTTATTAACACTTCAGCATTTTCTAATACTATTCATCAAGAAGCATTTGTTTTAAATTATGTGACAATATTTTACAAAACAATTCATAATATTATACAAAATTGCATGCATACTGAACTGAATTATTTACAAATTATTTGAATTATTTATACTGTCTAAAATATATTGCATTATTATGTACAAAGTGAACATTATAATTGAATTAAATTGTGATAATAAAAATAACTGCAAATATCAGTGTCTTTTGTTTTGTTGTTGTATGATGACGAGTTTATTCTTTTCTTTAGTTACTTTAGCTACTGGTATGTTCGTTGCTGGCATAAGCTGTCTCAAATTTTGACTAGGTATTATGGGAGGCTGTAAATAAAAAAATATATATATTAAAGACTTTTATGCACATACACAATGTCACTCCTTAAAAGTTTATACGTCCGTAAGGTGCACATACCAACATACAAGTAGTTTACAAAGCTTTAATCACTGAAGTTTTAGTTGTTAGACATGGATTTTTATAACTAAAATGTTACCCAATATTCATTTTTTTCAACTCGAAATGTCAGTAGCAAGTACACACTAGTTACATTTTTTTTATTTATCATGTCTATCAACCAATTAGTGATGACTAGAAAAATGCATGGGTATGCTGACAAGCCAAGTAAAAAAACCTGTTGTTAAATACTTTGTAAAAGCCATAATTAATACATATTTATAATAAATAATAATATCCCTGAACAATTCACACAGCGCCATCTGCGCATCTGCGCGGCCGTCAATTATTCGTGATAGTTACCCCAATTGTTGCAATGAAGTATGTAAGGATATTTTATTTTAACAAAAATTACTCTGTATTTTAATGTACACTTACCGGTGGACATCTAGCTAGTTGCTTCATACGATCGACTAATCGCATGGCATCGTCTGATGTTTCTGAATCTGTTGTCATACCCAATGATAAAGCTCTTTCCATATTCCCACCATCCACATATTTGTGAATCGATTGGAAATGCCTGTAATTTATTACATAATAACAATTATTTAGTTAGGTTTATTTTTGTGGATGTAACGGCGAAAAGCTTAGAACGTAAGTCAAAATAAAAATTACTAATAGCTACAAATTGATCTTCATAATCGTACGTAATAAACTCGTATCGTATTTAGCAAAAATCGAAAAGTCGAAAAAATTTACAAGTGGCTTTCTCGAATTAGCTGACACAATGCTTCTAGGACAAGTGTTATTTGAATTTATTATTTATAACTTTGTTTTACATTTAAACTTTGAAAAATGGTAAGTTATTAAAAGTTTTTTAATTTAACATTGGCACATGTGTTTAAACGTTGCAAAAATGGTCTAAGCCCGTGTGTTTAATGCCATGCCCTACCTTAGCCTTACTAATAAAGAGTCCAATTTCGAATTGCTCCCCTTACCAATCAAATCTTAGCACCCCTTTGGGATGTGGACCCCACGTTGGGTAACATTGCTCTAAACTCAAAAAGCGTGTCGGAATATGGTACGTATGTTTAAAGTTTATATTTACTTACTTTAAATATATAAAACTTACCGGGCTTGCGCGTGTGGTCGTGATCTCTGTGCGTGTCGCCAGGCAGCGGTGGCGCGTGCTCGCCACGCAGCCGCCTCTTCCGCCGCTGCCGTTGCACCCGCCTCCAACGCTGCGCATGCGCCACGCAGATCCACCACCTGTATCCAAGCACCACCACCACATCCAAGGTTATACTAATTTTACTTATCAATCAAATACATTATTGATATTTCCTGGTCTTTTTTAGAAGTCGTCGGTGCGACTCTCATGGTACCCGCCACTGTGCTATTCCTGAAGATGCCATGTTAATACTAACGGGGTTGTACTTCACTGTACTATCTCATCCTATCTTACACTCTCTTTTTATAACAAAGCAAGAACTGAGTACAAATTACTTGAACTACAATAAATAAAACTTTAACTTATTATAAAACTTACCAAGTAAAAAGATATGTTATAATTATTTTACCTTTTGGAAATATCTATACAGAAGAGTTTTCATTTCATCATGTGACAGTTTATCTAGCCTCGCCATTAGCATTTGTTCTCCCCGGGTTCTATTGTCCCTATTATCTTGGGAATCTGATAAGGATGCAGATGGTGATTTGCCACATATTAAATTATTCTTGTACTCTATTGCTGTATCAATTGCTTCAATAGCCTCTTCACATTCTAAAAGTTTGCGTTCCTAATAATAAATAAAAAATTATGTATTATATATAAGATAATCATATACACATTTAACTTATATAACTCCAAACAAATTAATTTTAGAACATACCTCAGAATCAGAAAGTGACTTGTATATTTTTCTTTTGTGACCTAAACTACATCGCTGGTCATGTAGACATTCCCTAGTTTTTCGTAGATTTTTTATTTCTTTCCTTAACATTAATTCCTTGTCTTTTGTTAATTCTAAACTCTCTAAATCATTAGTTTTCTCTTTCAAAATACTATCTAGTTGTGTAATTCTATGAGTAAAGTGTTTTATTGAATTAGTTTTTTTATCCTTTACATCTATAGATGTTTCAGATAGTTCATCCAATTTTAGTTTGTCTTTCACAATTTCTACATCTAAAGTATTTTTACGTTTCTCATCTTTACGGATTTGTCTTTTTATTTGTTCAATTTGCTTTTTGTAAGTCTTAAGATTTGTTTCATGTCTCCTTATTTCTTTAACCATATCATAATCCATAACACTATTTTCTACTTTGTCTGAGTATTGTTTATTTGCACTATTATGGCAAACTCCTTTTGATAAATCATGTATCAATCTCTCCTTAGCTATACAAAGATTTATAAGTTCTTTCAGCTGAGATTGGCTAGAACTAATTTCTTTAGACAATTTTCTTGCTAATATTTGTTTTTGAGTATATTTTTCTTTAGTAACTCTGTACTTCTTACAAATTTCTTCAGTCTTTGGAGAATCTATCATTTTAAGAAGTTCTCTTTCTATTAATTTTGGTTCCGGATCCAAATCCTTTTTATGAGATTCCATAATAATTTTCTGAGATTCAGGTGATATTGCTTTGGCTGCAACCTTTCTTAATAATTCTAATTCTGCACCAGATAAACTTTCGCCAGGTTGTATTGTTCTCCTGCGCCCGGAATTTGATTGAGATGTCAATGTAGGTAATGATTGTGAACCACTAGTTTCTGATAAAGTAATATCATCAGAGTCAATATGATTTAAATATTCTTCACATCTTTCTGCAAACAATTGGTCATTCTTTTCTCTGAAATATTCCATATATTTTTCAAGTTTATCTTGGAATATAGTTTCAGAATGACTATCTTCTTCAGAATCAGATTCAACATCTGATTCACTGAGCTCACTGGGTTCAGTGTCCTCAGCTATTCTAGGTAAACCTTGCTTTAATCCATTTTCTTTATTATCAGTACCAACATCCCCACTTAAACATTCATCACATTCAGCCTTCAAAAATAGCCATTCACTAACTTGATTCATATCAGCATCAGACAATGATTTAGATTGTAGAATTTTATTAAAAAGACCTTCAGCATTAGAAACTAGCTTTAACCACTGAGTTGTAGCAAATTGAATGTTAAAGTTGTTATCTGCAGGTTGTAATATTGTCTTTTCAGTATAGACAGGTGTATTATTGTCTGCAAATAAATTAACTGTAACAAAATTCTTTATACCACGACAACATAAGCATAAGTTTAGTATTTTTAATGTGTCTTGATAATCTTCTGGTTCAGTACTTATGCAGCCTATGACCCATGTGAATGCTCTGCCACCAAAAGAATCACGTAGCATTGCAGTGAGTATGCATTGATCATAATTTATGTGCTTAGGAGGGTTTCCTGCAAGTAACTCCTTAATAATGTTTTCAAGAACAAATAACCCTGGCTCAGGATATGCAGCTAAATCACAGAAACTGGCAGTGGACATCCTGTGATTAAGCACACCATTACCACCTACCCATTTTTGTTCCATACTAACAGTGAACACAGTGTGATTATTCCCTTGACATCTCTGCCGCCACCCCATTTGTAAATACTGAAAGGCTTCTTCAACATTACAACATCGGACCAATCCTGCCCCGAGTACATCAAAAATATTATTATTAACAACTTGCATCCATGTTATATGCAGTATGAACTCTCTTTCAGGCATTTGATTGAGTTTGTGAAATATTTCAGTTAGAAATCGTGGGACAATGCCTTGATCACATTCACTATGTATACATTCAAAACCTGAAATTATATTTTAATGCATACATACAACTACATAACATATTTTTAACATATAATAATAAACTGAACCATTCATGTATACATATTATAGCCTACTCACCTGAACCAAACAATGTATAAGTTTTTCCAGTTTTAGGCTGTCCAAATACAACAACAGATGTGTCGCAGCCATCCAAGAAACAATTTATTTGAGGAATCATAAACGAACTAAACAAATAAGCTTGTGTGCAGTCCACTGGTAATGCTCTATTAACATGAAATGTTTGGCCGCTTTCGGTTATAACTATTTGTGTCACCGGATTACTGAAAATACATTGAGTAGAGTCTTCAAGGCTGGGAGGTTTCAATCTAACTGCAATTTGCACTGGTATATCCATTTTAATTATAAATAATACTATATTAAAAACTGATTGAAGTACAATACAAGTTCATCTATTTTATAATTTCATGTATTAAGTTACTTTATTAAATCATTACATATCGAATTGAACTTCTATTTTAAAGAATTTTAATCATATATTTCAATATAAATTTACTATAGTAATAATAATTAGATTACTGTGTTTTAACATAAAATAAGTAAAAATTTGAAGTATTTTAATGACAACAATGCGCATGACATTTACAGTGTGACCAGATTTAAATTCATGATTATGCTAAATCCTCGACACCATTATACTAAAATGTGCTTTTGTTAAGAAATTAAATTATAACAGATTAAAATCAATTGGTTTGAGATTTTCTATGAATAATTGAATTATAGATGCAAGACGGTTTATACGGCTATCAAATGCAGTATAGCTAATAACAGTCTGTACCTAAAGGAGTGGTAACCGGTATAGAAGTTTTTTATCTCTGTTAACTGTCATTGATTTTTTTTAGGTTGGTTAGACTATTAATATACTATATTACGTGTTTTCTCTGTCTACGGGTTATTGCCGTCATAGGGTCTGTAGGAAACTGTCATTGACAGTTAATCGCTGACATAAGCTGTCATTACTGTCAAGTCTCTTATCTATGATTTGTTTCCATTTGTATCCAAATCTGTGCCCGATTGTTATATTGTAGTCACGATTTCGTGAAACAAACCATTAAATCATTATGAGTCTCTGAAACAAACTCAATATTTCAGAATACGTTTCAGACTTCTGTTGCCAAATACTTTAGTTTATTGCCCGCTTCTGCTGTTTTAAATCAGACTTAAATCAATTTTACTTAAGTTCTATGCTGCGTTCGGTGAGCTCCTCAGTAGTATTTTAGATTCATTTGTGCTAAATAATTGCATATTTTTGTACTATATTTATTAGCATTAACTTACTACTGATTCTGATTATTCCATACCTTATTTTATATAAGTAATACAGTAGTGATTTCTATTTAATTTGTTCTTATAACCACAGTTATCTTCGCCAATTTGGATTGAACAGTTTTCTGATAATATATACGTAAAATGGAGATAGAAACTGTAGGTGATCAAGGTCCAGAACTCGACAAACCTCCACACATTGGGCACAAGTTGCTACTGAATCATGAGTTTCCCTTACAAAGTAAACAAATTATTAGACCAAGAGTCAGTCAAATATTTGAAATGATGCCTCTTTCAGCGAGGTAAGTATTCAATTAAATAAGAAAATGTTTTTATCTTATCTTTGATTGAAAAGAATATTTCTTTTAACTATATTAACATAATTTATCTCAGATTTATGTTATCTGGTCATCATAATAAATTAAAATAAATTTCTGTAAATACTTAACTTTTATGTTTATCTAAATTCTTTCAGATATTTAAAGTATTATCTTAGTAAAAAGGTACATAAGAAGCGCCCCATCATGGACTATGTACATATGATATCAGCACAAAGGATGTATGGTATGTACATAGTTAAATTGAAATTTAGAAAAGTTATATTTTTTCTTATATAGACATAATGACATTGAAGGGGCCACAAAGTCATATAGCCTCAGTCAAACTATTCTAGCTGTTGAAGTGATTTTTGCTTTACTATCAAACTATTGGTTTAATTTTGTAAGCAGTTACAAAACATAAATATTATATAAAATTTGATTATGGAAAGTTTCCATTTTTATTAAAAAGGCAAGTCCATCATCGCTAAACTACTTTGAAATGATATAAAAAATCTCTTATCCCATTCTTTTTGTAAATCCATAAACAATTGTTAATTAAATTTTACTAAGAACTTTGCATTTCAATTTTAAGCAGTAATAGAAATTAATATTATACCTTTGTGTAACTGTTTGGTGTTAAAAATTAACAAAATTATTTGACCAAAGAGAAATTATTTAAAATAATAATGAAAAATTACAAATTGGACTGAAAGGTAAATGTATAAATAATAAAAACTCCTAGAGAGTTAGAAGAAACTCTCAATAACATTAAATGTTTTTTTTTATATATGTCATATTTATAAATAAATTGGTATATGTGTAAACACATTTATAAACATAATATTTTATTAAATAGGTTGTCCTATTGGAGGTATTGGTGGAGGCACAATTGGCAGAGGGTTCAAAGGAGAATTTTGTCGTTTCCAACTATATCCAGGCCTCTATGAATATGTCACAGTTCCTGAATGCCAGTTTATTGTCAATATACAAAATGCTAAGAAGGAAACCATATTTCAGTCTGTGCTGTCTACTTATGAGTGAGTATAATGTCAATCTTTAATGTACTGCAATAAGTCATAGTCATAAGATTTTATTACTAATAGATTTTATTTTCTGATTTATAATGATGTTATTATTAAAAATGGACCTATAAATAGAATACTAGTGTATTTTTATATATCTAATTGAATAGTAAAAAAAATTGATGGCAGACCTATTGGTAACTAGTAACTGTATATGCCATGGATGTGATGTTATATTCTGATGCAATTGATATGTAATGCTATTCAAGAAGACTAAGATGTCATGCTTCTTATCCTATAATTTCACTGCCTTATCTTATTCATCAACTAAAACTGGTTTTTTATATTGTTAATTAGTAAACCTAAAAAAGCACCACAATCCTGGGAGTGGAATCTTAATGCTGTAGATTGTGAATACACTGCTTTGTACCCCCAAGCATGGACCACATATGATTTGAGCAAATATGGTGTAAAACTAGTATGTAAGCAGATATCGCCTGTAATACCACATAATTATAAAGTAAGTACAGTTTCAAAAAATTAATTCATAGAATAGTATTAGTAGCCAAGCATATTTAACAACCTGTGAGCGGTTTACCATGCCACTTTACTTCTAATGGTTGCAGGTGTGGTTCCTCACTAGGTACAAGCATTTGTATTCATGAGTATGATTGTTTGTATTGGTCTGGGTGTATTGTATGGATATTATGTATACATTAAAAAAATATCTAAATGGTATCACTCAGTTACTAGTAACCATAACACTCACTACTCTTAGCTTGGAAATAGATGGCGTTGTGTAGATTGTTCTGTGTTATTATTATTATAATGAAAAATATTAATAGCTCACAAATCTGCTAAATATTGGGTGCGGAATGGAGTAGAATATTCAACAGTAATCAATAAGATTATACAATGTGAAGTAACTTATAACAATTTTTTTTTCGAGTGCCCTAGCTATTTTACCCCGACATAAATAAAAATGGTATTAGTAAAAATCGACACAAAAAAACTGACTGCCTAAATATATTTCTGACTGATGACCGCAGCCTTGCGCCTTGCCACATTGGATGCAAATGTATTGATAGGAATGTGGGCATCTCAGATGTTCTGCTCACCATAACATGGACAGTTGACAATACCTCTGACTCCCCCATCTGATAACAGATGTGAAGATATATATAATATTACAATTGTACACTTTATAATTACAGGACAGTAGTTTACCATGTGCTGTATTCATATTTTCGGCAAAAAATGTTTGCAATGAACATAGAGATGTAAGCATAACATTCACATGGACTGAAGTTCTGGGAAGCACCAACAAGAAAAAATCTGTAGGTTAGTTTTGTCTTGAAAGTTTTATTATGAGTATACCAGAAAAATATTAGTCGAGATAGAATAAGCTACATAAGGATTTTCTATAATAAGGAAATATATATATTTGGAATTATATACTACTCCATGTTCATTCATTAAAAAGTATCGAAGTTGACCCAACTAAAGTGCTGTTAGAAACCATTAAAGCAATAGTAAGCAATAAAGAATCTATACATTTGAATACTGGTGCAAATTATATTCATTACATTCATTAACTTCATTGTAGGAAGTAGTAGGAACAATGATGTACTGTAGTATACACTAATTACACTTTACGTGAATTAAACGGATTCACTGTATAATATCAGAGCAGATATGCTAATTTCTATTAAGCTTAATTATTGTAATTTATAACATTCTGAACAGGATGTGGTGAATTAGAAAGATGTTATTATAATACAATGTATGGCACGAAAGCGAAAGATATCGTTAATTGTTAGTTACATAATTGCGAAAATACATTAAAACTTTGGGACCAATTACGTAACACGAAATCGAAATATATGTTTGGTGGAAATACAAATTTCATGAACACTCAAAGTGCTCCCATCCCTGGGAGGCATCTTAGATTTGGTCACGTCACATTTAAAATTTTGTTAAAACATGATATTATATATTAAAATGTAACTAGCAGTGACAGGCGTAAGAGAGGAATAAACATACTAAAATGGCCTTCTTAGTAGTTACGTTGATATAAGTTCCTTGTAAATTTATCGTAATTTAATTATTTAACATCAGTCATCTTACTTAGAGGTATTAAAAATTTCATCTCCACCAATGTAATAGGATCATTTCATTGTATGAAATTGTACCATTTCGTCAAAACTACGCCATAGTAAAAATACTATTAAAACATAAGCTATAATAAAATTAATCTCATTATGGTACGTGTAAAATGGCGACTAAAACTCCCTTTCGCCCATTCCATTTCCTCCTGCAGCGTTAGATAATAATTATCAGTTACATAGTTAATTAATTAATTATGACAAAACAAATTAATTGATTAAGAATCTAATTATGATTTATTATTTTACTAACATATATATTATATTAGATAAGATTATTGAATGTTATCAATGTGAATTGAATAAACTGTTTTATATAATGTCTCATCTGTCGCTTGCATGAACAGTATTACAAATTCCTATACTTTTTTCTAGCTTTCATTGTGCAGGTCAACACATAAATTGTATGCCTATATTTTAATTTTAGCTAAACTGGACATGGAAAGGTATTCGGAGGAGTACACATGTGGTGTAACATTAGAGCAAAAAATTTTAGAAACACCATGTACATTCACAATAGCAAAAAAGAAGCAGGAAGATGAAACGATCCATGAAGGATATTGCTTGTGGAATTCTACAAAGACGTCCAACTATGTATGGGATTGCCTAAAGAAAAATGGGAAATTAGAACCAGATCCTAACTTGACTCCACCTCCACCTAAAGTGCCTGATAAATCTGATAAAGATGACGATGAAAAAGAGAAAAAAGAAAAACAGAAAAAGATACACAAATGTAATTATTATTCTATTACTGGGAGATTTGGTCACGTAGTAGTCCGTAGTCCTATTTAAAACTATAGTAAACTGTAATATTGGATATAGCTGGACCAAGTTAGAAGTGATTTCATAAAAATTGGTAAAGTAGTTAGTTTCATGGTCATCCCAGACCAACATAGTAACGTGAATTTTTTGATATGTAGGAAGTATGAATAAATCTTATCTTAACACTTCTTAATGGACAATAGTTTTTAAAATCACTTCCAATTTTACAAATTGTTATTGATTGCTTTATTTATTATATATTTCAGGTGATTCTATGGGCCTTTCTAGTATGTTATCTTTGGATCCTGGAGGAGTTAGAGCAACAGAGTTTTGTCTTGCATGGGACATGCCAATTATTAGATATAAAAAGGACAAAAAAATACATAAAAGGTTAAATAATTTTTTTTCTGTTACAGAAATGGTTTAGTAATTGAATAAATATAAAACTGACAAGTGTTTCAGGTTTTATACGAAATATTTTGGAAGCGATGGAATTGCGGGAACCAGCATAGCTGCATATGCGCTTAGAAGTTATAAAAATTGGGAGAAGCAACTAGCCGAGTGGCAGGATCCTATTTTATCAAATAGGTAATCATAATAGTTATAATTTATTTATACTATTATCAGAAACGTTAATAGTTTTATACTAAAATATTGATTAAACTAGATTTAGTAGGAAGAAAGAAATAACCATTATTTCTGAACTATGTTTATAATACTTTTACTTTGATATTAATAAAATACATATTCTTTTTATATTTGAAACTATTATCTGTACTTATAGTAACTTTATATGTGTTATATTTATTTACTTATAAAATCAAATGTGCACTGTAAGATGCGACTATTTCAATTGACATATTGTTCACAATATTAAGGTTACATCATGCGAATTTTACGTACATTCGTACATACAGTTGCTAAAATTTATTATATATTATTAAAATACTTTTTACTTTCAGCAATATACCCGATTGGTTAAAAAGTGCCTTAATGAACGAGCTTTACTTCATCGCCGACGGCGGTACCATATGGTTTGATGTACATGACGAGTATCCAGATACTGATCCCAGGTACTTCTTGAATCCTTTAGTTATATAATTTAAGTCATCTTGTTTAGAATGGCTAATAAACAAAAAAAAAGTAAAAGTGGACTGTCCTGTGGCATATAAGACGGAAAGAGGGAAAAATAATCTGCATTAAAATAATTTTATTATGAGCATGTTTAAATAGTTATATTTATTTAAAGGCCTCAACGGCCTAGCAGTATAGCATATATACCGCTTTATTTCCGGTGGCCATACAATCGGTTCAATTCCTTGCACCATACTACCTTTTGTATTCAAGTGTATGATTGTTTGTATCGTCTGGGTGCTGATTCATATCTATCGATATAGTATCGATACCAGATTTTCGTTGATAGAACGTATGAAATCGTATTTGGATATTTTAAAATACTGGATATTTGTTAATTCTCATTTCAGACATTCATTTGGATTGTTTGGCTATCTCGAGGGACACGAATATAGAATGTATAATACATACGATGTACATTTCTATGCTTCATTTGCTTTAGCACAGCTATGGCCTAATTTACAGGTTAGTATAAGGTTAATTTTAGATTCTTATAAGTATAAAATACTTCATTCATTTACCATTTAATTAATTCGTAATTAGTAAATTCAAACAAATAGTACTTGCCAGAGAACTAGGTTACGAATTTGGCCAATCGTTATAGAAGTGATCATGCCTTATATTTATACACAGTCTTACAAAATGCGCCTTTTTTATTACATTAATATGTATGTACATTTAAATTGTTGATTCAGGTTGTACTACAGTACATGTTCCGTGATACGATAACACAGGAAAGCGAGAAATTCAGACAATCATTATATGATGGTAAATCAGTTAAATTCAAGATAAGGGATTCTATTCCTCACGATTTGGGCGATCCAGGTAATATTATTCGAATAAATTAATTGTTTTAACGAAATATTCAGTATTCGTGAATGTTAGTATTTAGTTACATATTATACAAAAATAGATATAATGAAGTAATCCACTTACCTATTTTAAATATCATGATACTGTTAATTGTCTCGTATTCATATAATTATTAATTACAAATTGTTTTCAATTCAGTAAACATCAGTATATGAAGTTTACTGACGGATGTTTACTAACATGTGTATGTTGGTCCATATTCTGTACTTACATTGTCTTACTGTCTTAATAAACGCAAAGTTTTTGAGCATGTATGGATGGATGGATGTTTGTTACTCATTTGACGCTAAAACTACTGAACGGATTTTGATAAAACTTTACAATAATATAGCTTATACAAAAGAATAACACACGCTACTATTTAAAAAGATAATTTGTGTATTGGACGAAATAAATAATGATAAATGTCAAGTTTAATGCAGATGTAGTTGTACCTGTTAGCTAGTCGAATAATAGTGATTTGGGCAATGACTTCTGTCATATTATCAAATTGCTTTATTATATAGTACCAATTTCTACAAAACAGATGATCTGCCTTTCTCGAACATAAACGCATACAACATTCACGACGTGAGTGAGTGGCGGGACCTGAACCTCAAATTCATCCTGCAAGTGGTCCGCGACTACCGCCTGCTGCGCGGTCACACCGCGCCATTCGCGAGCGAAAGGTACCGCTCAATGGCGTTCATAGACGACGTAAGAGACGGCACCGAGGACGACCTGTACTCACGGTCTACTGGCCAAGCGGACGACTCGGAGCCGTCTGAGGTCGCTACCGCTGAAGGCAGCCCAAAGCAGGATCCACCGCAGCCGGCCGTGGGGGATATACTCGACCTGTTGTACAGGAGTACCGAACCGGAGCCCGAGGGCTCTAGTCTGGCGCCGCGGCCGGAGCCTCGAGAGGCGCCTGCGGCTGTGTGGGACGCCGGGAGGTACCTCGCGGATATGTTCCCGTCGTGTGCAGCACTACTGCGTCGCGCGCGCCAGTGGGACCACGACGGTGACGGCCTCATAGAGAATGGAGGCTTCCCCGACCAAACTTACGACGCGTGGGTCATGATGGGGCCAAGGTAATACTCACTTTAACTATTTTATACTCTAACAATAATAATATATATTATATATATCACAGTATAGCTACATACAACATTAATAGCTTAAAGAATCATTACAAGATTACCTAATACTACGCCTTAACTGAAATGTAATAAGGCAGGAATTTACTTACACTAATAAAATAATATTCTATTTATTCATTACAGGAAATTCACAGGATGATTCACACTAACATATACAGATTGTCTGGTATTATAAACTAATCCACAAACAAGTTCTCTTACATCACTGCCTATCTTATATATTTATGCTCATACTGTAGCAAACGAAAGTAAATGTTTCTAAGCACTGCCGCAACCTGATTCAGGAGTTTGATGACTCATTAGTCATATGAAATATATTTAAAAATCCAAATATGTTCCAAATATGTTAGATGTGTCATGCGAACCAACATACACCACCTAGATACACTCAATCATTTTACTAGAGGTTGATTTGGAGAACGTCAAAAATGATGAGCTCACGTATCGTTTTTTTTATATTGATTAATATACCTACTAGCTGTTAGCGACTTCGTTCACGTGTAATATAACGTATTTTACTTTGATAAATAAAATTTATAAATAAAAGTAGCCTAAATTACTAGCTATCAGCGAATGATTTATTTTTTACTAGTTTTTTATGTATGTATCGTGTCTACATTCATATGCATTTAGTGAAAAGCTGGTAATTTGAAATTATAATCAGGGAGTTCAGTTTTATTTATTTGTATAGATTTTGTAATGAGTGCAACGTCGCTTGAACTCCTTTTGATATTCTTTAAAATCAAATAATAAAAATTCTATTTGATATTTTTATTTTCTGTTTTAGCGCATACTGCGGGGGATTGTGGGTATCAGCAATAAGTGCGGTTCGTATGATGGCTCGCATCCTGAGCCAGGAAAGTGACGAGCGTGAGTTTTCCAAGTTACTCGAACAGGCACAAAACTCATTTGAGAGCAAATTATGGAACGGATCCTACTACCGGTTCGATATGCGGCCCGCCAACAGTCGTGTGGTGATGGCTGATCAACTTGCTGGACATTGGTAACTATATATATTTTTTAATTGATCACACTAATGTTATAAAAGTGAGAGTAAGTATAATAAGTAATCTATTTTGATCAGTGGGGATCAATGGCATAGTAGCCATTTTTAGTTCGAAAAACGGATTTAGATGGCGTCATTGGTATCGAATGGAATTCAACATTATTTTGTAATCGTTTAAAACCCAAAACTATGTTTTTAAAAAGGATTAATCTATTTTTAAAAAAGTCATATATAGATGTTAAAATGAAATAATGCGTTTTGAAAAGTAATTTTCATATATTTACTCATTTTGTTGTCGCCCTGTATTTGTTTACAATTTAATCATTGCTAATTGGGGCTTATTGTTTCCAAAATACTTTCATAGATGGCGCTGTTTTCATTTGTATCACCGTATTTTAAATGTTTATTTTATATTTTCAAATAATAAGTACTTACTATATTATTATGATAAATTAAACATAAAAAAAGTTTAAGTAAATATAAAACAGCTAAACAAGAAAACCATATTATTCCAGTAATACTTATTTAGAAAGTGTTGCCATATTAAAAATAAATGCATAGATTTATCGATTTTTTCGAATAATCGATAACAGGATATTACAACGCATTATTCGATGGTGCTTTTAATTAGTCTTTGCAAACAGTAAAATTTCATCATTTTGTATTATACTCTTATTTGGAACGAATTGCAATGCATAATTTTTACTCGACGACGGCAAAATAGAAAGATTTTGACAGGTATGCAAGTACTATATATTTATCTGTTCGCTCATAACTTCGAAACTTGAAGAGGGAAATATTAATTAGATTGATCTGATACAAGTGTACTCCATTATATCAACCTCCACGCGGTCACCCTGGTAATTATAGCAATTAATGACATTAGTGACATAGTTCTTCTATTAAAAAAATTAATTCCTACTTATTGTAATTTAATGAATGAGAATTGAATGTGGTATAGAGTATATAAGGTCAGCTATACCTTTATGAAACCTCAATAAACAAGTGTTATATGGTATCTAAATTACTGACATTGATAGCTAAATTATGAGGATCCTCGAATTTTTAAAAATACTCATAAGAAACTTTACAAATACTCGAATTTTGCTTTTGTAGAAGGATATTTTCAACCTTACTAAATTGTACAAGGTTTTGAAACGATAATCATTCATAATACTATGATATATTACTGATCCTAGTACCTACTATTCATGATAATTAGTTTTTTAATATCTCCATTCGAGGGTAGGTTATTCATAATTTGTATTATTAGATTTCATCACAAATAAAAATATCGATTTAAAATCGTAGGTTGGTCCATATTTTTTTATTATATCGAAATGACAACGAGTACTGGCAACATAAATGAAATGTTAAAAATATAAAATATAGGAATAAAAGAATAGGATAAACGACTTTAAGTCAAATGCTTAAAACCTATTTTCACTAGCATTGGATTTTTTCTCTTTTTTCATCATTTAAGTTAAGTAGGTACTTCAACTTTTGAATTGTTCCTGTTCAGAGTTCATTGAACTTCTTATTTTTTTGTCAAACTCAATAATTTAAATGTGTCTAAGGACTACTACAAATATTTAGTAAACTATCGTGTCTTTGAGGATTATCTCATACCAGGTATAACTATAAGTTGTTAAAAACTTGCATATGTATGCGTGTGAATCTTTCATATTAAAATATAATAAACATAGGTACTTGGTGACCGCTTTAATGTGGTATTATTATGTTTTTATTATTGTTATGAATGTAACTTCAAAAAACTAACAATGATTTTATAATTTTTGATTGATTGAGAAAATACAGAAAATTATTAATCAAAATAAAGTACTAAACAGTAGTATTATTTTTATATTTTATTAGAACTGAATGAATATGATGTATGAATAATATGTTTATTGTGCTAATAAGGTTACAGTTTAGTTACTTTCATGTAAATTCATTCATGTAAGTTCATGAAAATGTAACATGGTATATGATATTGTTTTCAGATTTTCCTGACATCAACAACTTAATACTGAACAAAGTTTAAACAAATAAGAGATGATATTCTAAATCTCCTAGTCATTCAGATGAAGATAAATAACATTTTTACTGTAAAGAACAGGAGTTCAAAAGAATAAGAAATATATATATATATATATATATGAACATTTTACTGTATAAAATAATAATGCAAGTAAAAATAAGAGAAAAAAGCAGAAGAAAAATCTGTAAATTATTAATCACAATGCAATTAATAATATAATTAAATAAGTAAGAAAGCAATGGACTAGTGATGAGAAGAAATTCCAAGTAATTATATTATGTGTAACCGACTGCAAATAAGTTTATGATTTAAGCTCATGATTATTATTATATTGCTTCATCAACAAATCCAGGAATATTTTGTGTACCAGGAATGAATTATGAAATGATTTTGATGAAATATTATGTCTTGATATTGATTTATTTGGAATAGAATATAAAAATAACAGAATTGTTTGAAGTTTTAGTGGTATAACAGACAAGCAGTGAAAGAAATATTATTGTAATTTATTAACAATTCTGTGATTAATAAATTATTTAAAAGTGTTTTATTACCTGAAATAAAAATGTTATGATCTTCAAGTGATGTTGTGTTCATGCAATGTTAGTTTCACCTCATTCGATTTAAAATGTCAGGAATTATTTACTACATAATGATTTTGTATTAGATGGTAATCATATATATTTTTTAATGCAATGTGTATAATAATTCCCATTTATATCAAAAAACTTTGTGTAAATCTATATTTCTCTGTCTATAGACTTTGGTCGTGGAATACTAATAAGAAACAAAATCTAGAGACTGTAGTATATCACAGCATCCCAGAACCTTGTATTTAAGTCATATAAGGACTTAGTACCTACCTAATACTTGCTACTTTTTTAATCAATTAATTAATTTGATCTCAATCATCATGAATGATAATGTTGAGAATACTGCCAATGATGAATTTTATGGTGGTCATAAATAAATACCACCGTCACTATCGTCAACAGTCATTATTGATCTCATCATCATCACCGTTACCCTCCTTCATCCATATTGTCAAAAGTTACTACCTACTATTATTAACTGAAATGGTAAATAAGCTGACGATCCATCCAACCACGACGCTATCCGACGTACATACATACACATATATTATTAAACAGCATTACGTCATCATGTCGTGCCCGCTATATCCCGCATACATTATCATGCCGGAGAACATAGATGTTATGTCCAAATATCCTGTAATTTCGCAGCTTAATTTCAACTGAATAACAACTTACATAAATACCAAAAAACTAGCAGTAAAGGCGTAGTTTGTAGATATCGAAGGTTCTACAAATAGGTATAACATCAAAATAAGTACCTACATGTCATTAGCACCGATGTAGTATCCCTGAAAGAACCTACATATAACAGATTGATGGTTTGCAGATATTATTTTCAGTTTTACAAATTGCCAGTTTACCATAATTAACTACATATTGAGAAATAATTATACACTGAAAATTATATGAGGTACCCATATGCACATCAATTGATTATAGCTAAAATCTATCACTATCACATAACAATTTAAATAAAAAAACCGTATTAAAATCGGGCTATTCGTTAAGGAGCTATTGCTCCTTAACCGATAGCCCGATTTTAGTGCAGACGCGTTACGACATATCTTCGTCGGGAGAAAAAAAGTAGGCATGTAAAAAAGTAACTGTAACATAGTACATAGATACATAGGTACATTAGCCGTGTCTGTAGACTGTCAGCGAACAATATTATACCTACATTGAATTTTCGATTGTACCCAATCAGGAGTTCGATACAGTTATATATCTATTATGTACGTATCTTTGCAAAACAGATGTCATGTAGACCGAATTCTCTGCCATCTATTTTCATGCTTTATTACTAATCACCCACTAGTAATCCGAACTGCTTCATATATAGCGACATCTAGCGCCTACGGCGGCGAAATAAAATAGCCCGAAGAATAGCCCGAGTTAGGAAGGAACCATTTTCTTGTATGGGATGGGGTATCTGTATGTAATATTATATTATCTGTGATTTTGATACATTTACATATATTAATGTAATACTTAATTATTTACAGAAGTAAAATCTTCAGTATACACAATGTTAAACAAAAAACTGTAATGTGTGAATAGCTAATTTAAATATAAGGATAAAAACTCCTTTTTTTAATTAGCTAGACGACATAAGTTTTAAAACTTGTGCACAGTCAATTTTATTGTGAGATACAACATACACATTTTGTGTATTTCTTTTACAAAAAGATAAGTTTTTTTTTTCATTTATTTATCGTTTTGTGTTTTCTTTATACTACGATGGCGGCAAACAAGCATTCGGCCCATCTGATGGTAAATGGATACCGTAGCTCATGGACGCCTGAACCATCAGGGGTGTCACATGCGCGTTGCCAACCCTTAAGAAACCTTAATATATCTTGATAAACCCCATGCTATAATCTCTCGTATGCTGAGGATACAAATAAATCTACTTTTAAGGTATTTACGCGCCTCTGGCTGGACGGAAGATGTTTTTCCCGAAGTCAACGTAAAGAAAGCACTGTCTACCATATATGACAACAACGTACTTCGGTTCAAAGAAGGGCGCATGGGTGCTGTCAATGGATACGTAACTGGCGCCCGCGGTCACGTCGACACCACCGCAATTCAGAGCGAGGAGATGTGGACCGGAGTCACATATGGACTGGCGGCTCTCATGATATACGAAGGTAAGTTGCAAATGTAACATTAAAAATCATGTCATAAAAGCTTCGCTTCTCTAAACATTTTATGTTGCTCTGGATGTTGATTATTAATCGCGCTATGTCGATTGGATAGGATGTAATAATCACTGTCTTTTGTTTTCAAGACGAAACAAGCATCGAACAAGCAAGTTTAATATGTAGTGCATGAGAAGACATAAACTCGAAGTTTTTATTTAAATCTATTTTACTGTTTAAGAAATGTTTATAAACAATCTTTTTTCAGGTATGCATGAGGAAGCGTTTGTAACCGCTGGCGGCCTACACAATACGTTAACACAGATGGGCCTAACCTTCGAAACTCCAGAGGCACTCTACGAGAATGGTAATCACCGATCCATAGCTTACATGCGTCCTCTGGCCATTTGGTCTATGTATCAGGCGATTCTGGCGAGACCGCCTCAACACTCACCTGTATCTAATGGACAAGTACGTAACACCAAAGATAATACTTTATAGTAATATGTACATGTAAATGTGATATAATAATAATAATAATATTTACAGTATCTACTATTTAAAAAAAAACGAAAGAATAATCAATTTTATGTTGTATTAATATGCAAATATCAATATAAATATTAACGAAATACTGCTTTAAATAATTGAAATTAACAAATAGTTCCCTATATATGTTCATGCCCTGATTCAAAATACAGATTTTCTACAATTCAAGGGCTATATTTTAAGCAATTTTTTATATGTATTAAATGCTATGTAATTATACAATCCAGAATTTGTGTATGTAAGTATAAACTTAAAATTAAAAGAATGATTAATAAAAAGAATGCTATTAAAATAATTTTGGTAAATTATTATACTTACCGAATAATGTCTTAATTACGTATGTAATAAATGGTTGCCAAATTGTTCTAGAAGAGCAATGTAATGCCACTAAGAAACGGAAAAATTAAGTTAAACGTTTTTTCATTTCATTGTATTCCTGATTCGGCTTACTGTAAACATGTTGCCGACTCTTAAGTAACATTTTCATTCATCCTATGAAAACTTCCGTGAAATGTATGTACACACATTTCACGGAAGTAAAATACAAGTTTCAGGGATGATTAATTTTCAACCGATTTCCAAATGCCATTTAGAAGTTAGTTGAAAAGTATTCTTAATTAAATGAAGTAACTCCAGACGTTCATTCTATAAATTTGTTCTGTATTCTGAATACCTTAATTGTAATGCGCCTATATAAGCTACTTTCTAGTGACTAAAAATGGAACCGTTATGTAATAGCATTACAACCATAGTTATAACATATGTAACGTAACATACTAGAGCGGTTGTATAGATTAAGAACGTCATGACCTAGTGACAGGGTAGTCCCTGACTATAGATTTTAGAGGCAGAGAAAGAGAGTGAAATTCCCATTAGAGTTAGTTACAACTCTTCGCCGATGGATGGCATCGGTCGTAACCCAATTTGATCCTAGAGATGACTAGGCTGGTTCCATGCCATATAGGATTTAAATAATCTGAGCGAAATATAGGCATGTCAAATGTTACACTCAGTACAATGACGACATTCTCCTGACTACCCATCTGAAATTACAGTCCATAGGTTATTTATTCACGGACACATTCAGTCATTATTGTAATCTCGTATTTTTATAAAGTACCGAAAATATGATATATGTACCTTTCCTCAAAATTTACCGATTTTGTGATTGTCACAAGTGAGAGTATTTATTTTTAGAAATCTACGTAAATTAAAAATAAACAAATATTGTTTAAAATAAGTGTTTACATTAAATATAACGTGGTGTGTATAACATACTCCACAAATAAATAATAATTGAAGAAATACATATAACCAGTTGAAAAACTTTATCTTTATCTCCGTGTTTCTAGTTTATACTTGCATTTTCGCTAATATGTAATACGAAGTGCATATCATCTGAATTATAACAAAAACATTTTTGTACTAGTTTTTGCAAAGAACTTGGTTGATAAATAATGTATGTTAATGTGTCGAGTATTCAATGCTATGGAACCCTACCGCAATAAGTTCTATTCACTGAATAATAAATTTAGAGTACTGGTAGTAGTTAGTTACTTTTGTAAAATTCTGTCCACAAAGACAATATTTGTCCAAAATTTATTTTTGACCTCCATATTGCGGGTCTTTTTATTATTGGTCATTTAAATTGTTATAAGGATTGTGATATTTCTTGCTAGCGAGAAGAAAAATTTTTACACCTTTTTTACATTACACATTGTGCATTTTATATTCTTTGTTTACCTAAGTATTAATTGTTATACCAATGAAATTGTAACGAAAGTATTGTTTAGTTACTACTTATCTTAATATAAAATTGTAAAATTATTTTTATTTTAATTGTATTTATTTGTTACATTACTTTAGTACAAAAAACATGTGGTCAAACCATAATAATTGTTTTAACTTTGTATGTTGTATTGTGTACTCAAGTGAAGTATTTTGTTTTATTTCAATAACCTTACAAGATAAAATAGATGCCAAATAAAAACATTTTTGAACTTATCATTTATTTTCAAATATGTATTACATATAAATGCATTTTGGAACACGTTAATATAAAAATATAAAAAAATCATTGTAATATTTTTATTTCATCCTAAATTTCCTGCATGCTTCTAAACATTAATAAAAAACTTATAAAATTAATCTATCTGAATATATTTTGTACTATGTTATAATTATCATTAAATACGTATATCGTAATTTCAGTTATAAAATAATAATAAATAGGAAATAAATGGCTACAGTATATACAAAATTTACAACATGTGTATCTTTCAGTCTTCGTTCATATTTCAAACGTGGATAATGCTTATACGCTAGTCATTGCAAGCTAATCCATTCCTTCATTTATTATGAATTACGTATCCAATAAATTAAGGTCTAACCACAACTAAACGATACAAAATGCTACATTAATGAATAGATATTGTATACGTCGGCTATTCTATATATAGGCCTTACTTATTGATTATCTCGCACCTGCGCGGTGTATCGTCTGACATAGCTTTGTGCTCGTTACTATTATAATGAATAAATTGCATTAAATCTTTATCATAAGTCCACAGTTCTCTACAACAATATTTATTTGAGTTGTCATCGTTGGTACTATTAATGGCACATGCTTATTATTTAATCTAATATGAATTACATGTTCAATATTCGTTTGATGTTGTATTACAATTTAAATTGTGCTTATCTATAGTACCTTTACATTCAAACTACGAGTATGATGAGTAGTGCGTGTAATCGAGGTTTTTAATCGTCTATAGTCGATATAGTGACATCAACATCACTACGAATTATTTAAGTTAGCAACTTATTTTTAAAACTAAGACAGTAATGTATTGTACTAATGAGTTGCCACTATAGTAATATTCTAAACTACATAATCTTGTTTATTTGACAGTAAAATAATGCTATTATGTTTGCTGACTCTATGCAATTTTACTTCTCCCGTCGAATGTCGAATCTGTGTAATCGATAAAAAAGCCTGAATACATACCAGATTTTTTTTTATTATATTATTACATGTTTCCATTCAAGTCTATGGCTGATATAAAGGGATAACTTTATCTTTCTTCTGCAGAAATATTGTATCTCGTCTGCATAGGCCCTTGTAAGCGATTATGTTTGGGTAGCAGATATGTTCATATACATGTGAGCGCCGTCACGGTCGTCGCAGCGAGCGGGCGCGGGCAGGGGGCGGTCGCGGGATGCAAAGTTCATGCGCAAATGTGTACCGCTGTGTGCGTCGTCGTCCAACCGTTCCCGGGACGCTGATGCCTCCCGCTCCACGATCGTTGCCATGTGTTGCGCCCTTAACAATTGGAACACTGTTATTGATTTATTTGCAGTTATGCAACCATACATATTATGCGAATAGAGTACCTATGTCTAATAATACATATAGGTACGAAGCGGTGCGACGGTCTGCTACCTTTGTTGTTTACTAGATCTATTTTATAAACGACCTCGGTGGTTTAGCGGTTAGGTACGTTACCTTACTTCCGATAGTTGAGCTTTGATTCAGAGCCACAGCAGTACAATCTGCATCGACCCCAGTTATTGCCAAAGACCCTTCTGTTGCTAACGATGTAAACGATATGTAACGATATATCAATGACTAATTGTTTGAATTGGTTAGTTTTCTACGTGTGAATGTCAAGTAGGCATCATATTGCATGGTATTATAGTAATACCCGGGAATAGTTTACTAGATCATGCTTTGCAATAAATATACATTAGATACGGTTCTCAAAACTGAGCCTTTCATGTTAGACTTCTGGGAGCAACAAAATTTCTTATTCAGTGGTTTCGACATGATATTGTTGAGTTGTTCGGATTCGTATCGTACCCACCTGTTGTCGTGTTTAGGGTGTCCGAAGGTAGTGAATTGCGGGCAGCCGTTAAGGGGCCGAGGCGGTGGCGGTATCAAATAGTCATCAAGACGACTCTCTATATCACACGCTGAGTGCATAGTAAGTGTGCTTGATGATATCTACGAAACAAATAATTATATTACAAAATTAATGACAAATAAAAATAATTAAAAGGAAATTAAACGCTAAGTACTTGTAGTACAGTATTAATTATGGAAGAGCCGTTAATAGAAATGTCTCGAAAATAAAAAATTACTTAGACAAAGGGAAAGGTCCTTTTGTCCAAGTTTAAAATCCCTAAGGAGTAAATTAAATTTAAGTAATTTATCAAATGATTAAAGATAGAAAATAAGGATCCTAATGATTCCTAAATAGAAATCTATCATCACGCTAGCTTTTTTACAAGATACGAAAAGAGTATCGAATACCATTGAAATTGAAGTTAAAAAAGCTAAAACTTGTAAGTTAATAAAAAAATATGTCATATTTTTTTATTACTTTTACTATTCACCAGGCGCTCTACTGATTACTTATATTCAACATATAATTCAGTTTATTGGTCATCTTATGCATTTATACTGGCTCCTAATATACATACAATGTATAGATACTGACGTATATTATTGTTATTTGATGTATATTATTTACATAACTACAACAACTTACAATAGATCTGGCTTTGTCGTCATTCTCAGACTGGACACTGTTGGTCTCGGCGACGCTACCACCGCTGACTGTACTAAGTCGGCCCGACGACGAAGAACCTATTATAATATAAATGTTAATTTGAAATGAAAATGTCTAATATATTTATTCCATTCAATGAAAACAAATGGACAAAATATTTTTTTTATTATAATTTCAAACTCACTTTCACTTAAACTGCTATTCGGCCGAGTATTCCCATTTCTTTTTTCAATTGTACCATTATTGTGTTCGTGATGATCTGCAAAAAAGTTATTATTCATTAAAATATAATTTGCAAAGAAAATTACATGAACTTGTGTTATAACTTTGTGCTATATTATATATAGTTAGCAGGATGTTTTAAATTCGATAGAATAAAAATACTAACGTTTATTCTTGCTTTTAGAAAACAACTTTTTCACCCTTTCAAAAGGCGTGGGTCTTTTCAAGTTATCCTTTATTTTTTGTTGAATTTTATCATATTCTTCGCGCATCTTATTCAATTGTTCCTGTTTTTCCTTAATAGATTGTTGAGTTTCGTTCCTATTTCTCCATTCCATGACTAACTTTTCTACTTCAGATATAGTAAATACGTTGTTTTTGAAATCGTTAATAATTTCTACTAATTCTTCTTGTCCAGTCAGAGGGCAACTCTCTTTTCCAGATTTTATGCTACCACTGTTACGCGCATCTTTGGTATTCAAGTTTATTTGGCTTATATCACTAGTGGGAGTTTCAATATTGAAAGTCTTTGATTCTTCGGTGGGAGAATATAAAAATATGTCATTTTGTTGAGGCATTAGGCGAGAACTGTTAGCATATAGATTATTAGGTCTGAATTTTGGACTTTCCACTTTTATATTAGACGGTTGTACTAAATAATCATGTTCAATTGCTTGCTGTATCCTGTCTATTGTGTCGTCTATCAGGGGAAAATCATTTTGATAAAATTGTTCTTTCACTTTTGGTAATTTCAAAGTAGGACGATGTTTCTTTTCTTCTTTCTCCTTATCTACATTTTCTTCTAAACTTTGTGTGCAATCTTCACTAAAAGGATCAGTGGAGTGTTCTGCGCCTGTTTGTTTAGAAATATCACAACTGGGAGAGTCAACTGTATCTTCGGATTCAACAATATGAAGTTCTTTGGTATCGTCTTGATTTTTTTCTTTATCGTTATCCGACATGTTCTTTAAGTAGTAATACATATTAGAAAACTCGTTAATTTTCTGTAACAAAAACATAAATTTTATATTCTGTTTATTTGTTTTATATGATTAGGGGTAATTTATGATAAAAGCGGGTAGCTCAGGACCATCTTTTATGGCGGTATACGGAGGAGACTTATATTTAGTAGTGGTTTGAGTGATAATAACTTGACATCTTAGCATCTCATTAAGTAATCATAACAACTCAATATGGAGTTAAGTCGAAATATTTAGAGTACGTACTAGATGATCTGCAAGCATATCCGCGAGACGGTAGTGCTTGTGATCTCGTGCAAGATCGGCAGGGGTGCGATGTCGTACGTTCCGCAGCGCGACTGCGGCTCCACCTCCAGGACATTCCACCAACTGCCAGCAAACTCGCTCAAGGCCAAACCGAGCAGCCCAATGCAGAAGTGTTGGGTATTCTTCGCCACCTACATATGTAAATTGACATTGAATACAAAGGACTAAAAAATTTTAAAAATAGTATTTAATCATTAACACGATGAAGATCTCCGTATTAGCGAACGAGAAATGTATCTATAGGTATGTACTTACTAGATACGTCTGCTTTAGGGTTGAACTGCTCATTAGATGCTAGCAAATTGAAGTGTGGTGGGATATTCTTCTGGAAGGCGTTTAACATCCAACTGTCCAGTTGCTCCTTGCTGGTTGTTTTGAAGCCGAGTGTCTACAATATTATCATATACGTTTAGGATATATTAATATCCTACTCTAAATTACACTACCTACATATGTACAGTAATTTTTTTTATATTAGTTATAACGCAAAACAGTTAAAAGAAAAAATGAACATAATTTAAATCATGTTTGAGTACCTTATACTTATTTCTAAGTACCAACCAATATGTATGGATTGGTTCCAATAATCATTTGTATATTTTTTTGTACTGTATCAAAGCTAAAATACAAACAACAGATTAAAAAATAGATTGTTGATATAATCCTTTTTCTACTTTAAATATAAAGATATTTATTATACATACTTGACACATAAACTCTAATGGGTGATCAGATGCTCTAAGCAACTGGTCCAGCTCACGAAGGCGGCTCTCGCATTTGATTTGTCTGCGCCCCAATGGTTGTCCATTCTTGCTCACTCGTACCCACACCAACATCGACACATCTAAGCACGCCTCTGTATGAAAACAATAGATATTTTTGATCATTTTCATTATTACGGATTAACTAAAAAATTCCTTCCTAATATAAGAATCATATTATTGTGGCGAATTCATCAAAAGTGAACCACGATGGTTTCAATGTAAACCGCATGGAAGCGGACCTGACACTGTACATTGGTAACAATAGTACTACTTGTCCTAAATACTAGAGCTCTCCTCCCCAAAGTCGTAAGTATTTAATTATCCCAAATAAGATTTAAAAATTTGTCCATTATCCACTTGTAGTATTAAAAGTTATTCGTGCATATATATTTGCTATTATTTTAGATTAGATTTAAATAAAAACAAGGTTAGGTATATTAATTAGTAACTAAACCGACTCCTTTTTATTTGATACTGTGAGTCAATCAATCAAATTAATATAATATTGCAATAACAATGAATCATTAGCCTTTTTCAATTGTTTTGTAGACTCATCAATAAAACAATCGAATTTACGTCAATGGAATATATATACGAGATATACACATATTCTAAATTTTGTATAGTCTGTGGTAATTTCTATTAATGTTTATTGCTGCATTTATTATGTTTAATGTTAATTGATTTATTTTTTGCGTTTTTACCTGGAATATCGAACTGCAGAGTGTAAGGGTTTCTCTTTTTGAAAGTAGTTATATTTATCACCTCTCCCTTCTTGTCCACCATTATCTTAATGCTGTCCTCTTCCCTAATGGGGTCGTTGAGAAGCGCTATCACTCGACTTTGGCCCTGGATACAAATTATGTGATAATTAGACAGTAATGAATTGTTTTGCTCGATGTTGTTTGTATTTTGTTTTCATAATCTAGATCTTTTAATTCAAAACTATATTGTTTATACATAATATAGTTGATATACGACAGACGACTTTTTAGAAACTCAACCTCGCTAAAAGAATAATTGTTATAATTAATAAAAATATTTAGGTATTGTTAAACATACAAAGTAAGTCTTATCTGATCTGAATCTTTATTTTATATTATAAAAAGTATTTTCAATAAGATTGCTTACTATTTTCACTTTCTTTGGAACTATAGAGAAGCTAGTTTTATCTGTGGCGATGTCCTTGCAGTCTTTGGTCCTCAATATGCCGACAGCGGCTGTCAGGAATGTATCTACAAATGTCGTGTCCTTCTCCCTCACACACATCATTTGCCACTGGTCGATGTTTGGGTATTCTATATGTAGGAAATATGCACACTTAAATGATGATATGGAAGGATGGAAATTTGAATAAAACAGAATTTTTTTAATTTTCTATTTGGCCATCTATATATATATATATAGAAACTAAGGGGACTAATCAATTAAAAATAAATTCTTAACTTCTTATTTTTAATATACATGGAAAATATCCAGATCAAGATAAACAATCCAACTCCAAATATTTGTGTCGTACGAAAATCGACTCCGAGACCGAAATAAGGCGACGTGCTAAAATGTTAAATCACTGATGTTGTTCAGACGAGTCATCAGTATACCCACCCGTCAGGCATGGTCACACTTCTTTATGGCATATCTTTCACATTTCGCCCATTTTATTTTGATTTACCTTACCTGCTTACGATGATCGTGGACTCAAATAAACATTTGCTTTTTTAGATGTGTTTAATGCAAAGAGGCACTTATTTATGTATTTAAAAACCTATATACATATATTTAAATAGGTGTCTTCCTCGCATCTATTTCGGTAAATATTTGCTAATATTATGAGAAGTATTATGTAGATATATTAACATAAATACATCTAATTAAAATTACCGTCACTGCTGTTGGCCAGAACATGATTTTTATCCACGCCCAGTAGCATTACTAAAAGCTTGTCAACTTTGAACATGTTCTCACAGTTGGTCTCAACTTTTAGGTCAGTCATCTTACTGGCGAGATTCGGACAAAGGATCATTATTTGCAGCTGTGCTTTTGATAACCTGTCTAGTTTATCTTGGGCATTTCCCGACATTAGCTCTTCCGCTGTTATTGGAGTTACTCTAAAGAAAGAAAAGAAAGTATGTTTTTTTTAATTATTGTTTTATTGTTTAATTAAATTTAATATGCTTACGCAAATTATACGACTGCTTTTTTATAGCGCTTATTAATAAATATTCATCAAATATGATGTGATTGTATAAAACATATTATCAAATCACATTATAAAAAAATGTTGAAAATAGATAGATACATATAGATAATTTTACCTGTAATGGTGTCTAGCTCTCTGTGACATTATTTTGTCGAAGCTAGCAACAAGGTAGTCGGACCATAGTGCACTCTCTGGGGAACCAGAACTCCACAATATTGCTATGTCTTCCATTTCTGTAACAACGTTAAGACATTTAATTACTTGCTTCATCTTCACTTTCATATAACTATAAACACATAGCGATGCCGTTGTAGAGGTCATTAAAATCAATTCTTCGTTTTCCCAGACTCACTAACAACGCATATACCTATTTAAATTCAGAAAGAAGAAATTATGAGAGCAGTTTTATTTTATAAAGAGAAAAAGTAATTTTTGAACCTTAATGACACCACACGTGCAAAGATGCAAGCAACAGCTAATATCCAATAGAATTAACGCAGCAGTAGTGTGTCATTAGAACATTTCGTTTCATTCTTATTTATTATCTACATATGTAAACAGTTTATAACTCAAATATATCATTATTTACATAGCATAAAACAATGTCGCTGTCGCTGTCTATCCGTCCGTATGTATGCTTAAATCTTGAAATCTGCAACGGATTTTGAATTGTTTTTTTTTTAATAGATAGAGTGATTGATTGTTGAGTGTTGATTGTCTCTAAAATGCCTGTCTTCCTGTCCTGCCTCCCTGTCTCTAAAATGTCTGCTACTAAACGTTGTAGATAACGTATCGTAATGAAAAATAAATGTACAAAGACATCGCTGTGCAAGCAGTTTTTACGTAGCTAATAATTTAGCAGACGACAATCAAATGATTGATGTATATTGGTTATTGTCTGACAACGCATTAAGTATACGTATCATTAAAAGGATGTGTTGTCAAAGGATAATCAAGGCATGAACGATGTCGTTCACTGGTATCGGATAAAGGTCATTGCTTGGATCGAAGTTCACTGGTCGAAGCGGCACGTTACATGTTACATGATCCAGATGCCATAAAATATTTTTAGATGCATCATACAACATACCTTTTCATATCTATGTCTTTGTAATCACAATTATTAATATCATAATATAAATCCAATCAAATGATGTGTATAACAGATGTTATTGAAATTAAAAAAATATACTTAACAAATTTAATTATTAGGTATATTATATTTTTAATGTTTTTAATTTTATAGGTTCTTTGTTGTATAATTAAGTTATGTACATATATCATACACTAATAAAGTAGTAGTATCAAATAAATATTTATACTAAGTTGATTTTTCATTCAACATTGTGGTTACAATATACAAGTAGATAACTAGATGCACAGTTCTAAAGAGCTACGTAACTTGCTATGAATGGGTTTATAATGTAATGTACCTTTGACGTATGAATCAATGTTTAAAATAAGTTATACCTAGTATAGCTATAATATATGACCATTTTATTTCTTATAACTAATAACTTGCCCATCTGTTACTAATAATATTTGCATATATTGGAATATATTGATTAAGACTTTCACAAAATAGATTTCTTTTATACTATATTTAATACTTAACCTTGTCATCTTCAGTAAAATATTTTAATATTAAATTTATGATTTTTCATGTATAATTTTGATACTAAAATAAATATATAGACATGTAAGTACTAGCTAAAAATATTATGTGTAAGTTTACTCTTGTCTCGAAATGCAATTTAGTTGGCCACTTGAAGTCAATTAACTTACGAGTAGCTTTCGCCACTGATTAATGGGTTTAGTGCACTTAAAATTAGATAAGAAACAGTTTGTTGAGAAAATTCAAAGGGATTCCATGCAAATGTATTCAAATGTAAGAAATACCGTCTACTTGTAAACCCTTTTATCCCTAAGAGCCATGTAACGTTGTCCTAAAAACACACTTCCATTATTCTTTCTCAGTGAGTACGTGAATGAAAACATACGTTGGTTGTTAAAATTTTTATTGCATCTAGCAAGCAACGGCTGCTTACAAAATATGCTATGCACCGCGCGCGCCGGAAACTCGTACGGATTTATACTTACCCACCTCTGCCGCCAAATGAAGACCCGACTAAATGTAATATCCATTTCCTAAATAGACAAACGTCTATCAGCGTCGCTCGGAATAACTATGGCCGATTAGATGCAGTCGAGCGCACGTCGGTACTCATATTTGTTCCATAAAAGAAGTCTGTGCAGTTATGATTTAAATTTTGACCGTTTATTAATTATGTATGACATATTTGTCCCCACAGTACAATTCAAGTACAGTTTAATGCTGTGTTATATTTCATTTAATTAATTATGTTCATATACCTAGCTAAAATATTTGAAAATGACCTCTACAATACATTAGTTCCTTATAAGGAACTAATGTATTGTAGAGATTCATGTTTATGTTATAACATATATTGTTTAATTGTAATAGGATTATGTTCAGATACTGAGAAATAGAACACCCCAGATTTAAACTTACCCTATAAATATTTCTATATTGACTATCTCTGCTAGTTTTTTTTTGACGAGCAAAATTTGTGTCGCGAATGGGATACAACACAGTGGTGAATATATGATTAGGTAGGTACTTTACAGATATCATGTTAGTATTTTTTTTATTATATGTATATAATAATGTATAATAATAGTCGGTTTAATTGAATACAATATGTTTGTATATGTATAAAGTGTATACTCTGCGAGTTGTAGACAGCAGGTATACTTTACAGAAGCTATTTATATTGCATCAAGTCGCGGTGAGCATTACCAAAAGCTTTTTAAGTGGAGTAGAGCAAAGGTAGCACTGCTACCATTTGGGACACAAGCTCAACGCTTCACTGCGTTCGGTTTTCAGTTCAATGGCCGATGCCAGCTTTGATGTATCGAGTGAAATATTGCAGTTTCCTCAGTGGTTGTTTACGCGGCAGGTATTATCTCTTTCTATATTAAAAGAGGTGAAAACGTAGTTTATATCTATAATAGATTCTCTTAGGAAAACTTTACTGATTTATTACATTACCTAACTAACCTGATTATATGATACATTAGCTTTTTACATACGGTAACAAATAAATAAATATTTTATGAAATGATGAATTTAATTTTAACACACATAATTCATAAAATTATTATACAATTTATTCAGTTATAAGTAATAACGCATTTTATAATATAAATTTACATACTAACGATTTATTTTTACAAATATTGGTAATATAATACAGTAATTACAACGTTAGTCTATTTAGAATACAGTAAGTTAAAAGTTTAATAAATGATAATTTATCTACCTTAATGGGAAAAAGGTTGAAGTTGTAAAGAAAACAGTTGCCAAAATATTCAGGATTGCTTGGACATAAAAAATAACATTACGATCTAGAATTTGAGATGCTGTATACAAAAATGTCGACAGCGCTCGGATACCGGCCGGCGGCACGTCATGTAAGTAATTACGATGAAAACTAGTTGATTCATTTTTACACATTATTTATTTATATTATTTTATTGGGATTGTTGCCTAATAAATTTACAAGAACAGTAAACTATTAAAAAAATAACCAGAACTATCAAATAATTTTCTAGATATATTGAGAGATCGTTATTACAAATCCCGCGAGATCTTGAACTTACGATCTCTGCTCGTTTGCTTTATCTGTGGTAATTAAACAATTGCACTTAAAGTATTGTTCTACTTCAAAAATACAGTGTACACCATAATTTTACCGCACCAATGTAAATATTTTTTTTTATGGTAGATTCTAATAAACATTTTCAACAGACTATGGCGTCGAGCATATTCAGTATGCACCGGTCACGATGATTCATAACTTAAAAATAAACATCCTTGTTTTATTCTTTTATCCACAGCACTAAATCATACGATCCGACATAAGTTCAACTTATTTAGTCTCATGCGGATGAATGAAAGTGATTATTAATGTAGGATTGATCCTGTATTCATTTCGGCGAATATGAATATAGCTATGTTTCACCGTTTAGATATGGTGTGATAGAGTGACTGTTATGAGGGTAAGTAAATTTATATTTTTACAAGCAACTAAATCCATTTTACCCGTGCTGCGAATTGAAAAAAGTAGTATATAACATTATAAATTCAATGTGGAAAAAATTGTTAAATGTATTGATTTAGTAAAATAATGAATTCTATGTAGGTATTTCGATATTCCGAATTAGAAATAAATTGAATAGAAAATAATCAGAATCTTCTAGAATACTTAAAAATATATAGACATATAAATTAGTAATTATTAAAGTCAATGTAAAAGTGTATAACGAAGTTAAGGGATTCGGTATGAATCATATAATAATACCTATACCTATTACTGAGTTTACATCAATTCCTTGCCAACGTGTTGGATACAAAACTTCTGGCAACACACTCACTGAACAACTGATGCACACGTGCAGGTGTTCAAATACCCAATTGAGTAGTTTTAATTTTTTTTTATGTCCATCCATACGGAATAATTCGAAGCTGCAACTCTAAATGTAGGTAGTATTTACCTATAGTATAACAGCGCCAGGTAAGTTGATCACTATCTAAATAGAACAGACAAACATGTTTCAGTGTCATATATAATTTATCTAACAATTTAAATAATACCATGTTAGAAATTAACCTTCGAGAGCAATCGCAAGTATTCAAAGATAACGTAGTCATATTTCCGCTGTCTTCGTCTGCATATGATAGCGGAAAGTTATACAATAGTAAGTTGAAAACAAAGTTATAACTCAACTGCATCTATAGATAACAAGACAATCGGTTGTCAAGTTGAACAATACTGTAAAATCATTGTACATATTCTATGAACGATGTTGCGGGTAACAGTTAGCTAGACAGCTTACCCGCAACGTCGTCTACTTTTTCTAAGAACAAAGATGTCCATTTTCGTTCTCGTGCTACAATCTCCAAGACAATTTTCATTAGGATCCGTGCAGTTATTTAGTCGTGAAAAGGTATCAAACAGACAGACATTTATAATAGTAGGTATCTGTTATGACACACAATACTTACTATAGTGTTTACGCATTAAACTTGTTTAAATAAGTTAATTGCCTTTTATTAAGAGCCACTTTCGTTATATGTAGCAGGGCGAATAATTAGAACTGTGTGACAGTGTTCTAAGTCAATGTGATACAGTTTAAATTCGTTAATTTTTATGTAATTGCATTGGTAATGAATATCATAAATTCATAACCCTCTTAATTGTAAGTAGTACTAGTTGTTACATACAAGAATTAGCACCACTGACATCACGTCATCGTATGATGCCCGTAGCAACATTCATACGATGCTATTCCGGAGACAACCATAGAAATTGCTTTATCTCTCACCCTACAATCGAAAAACATTTTACGAATCAGGGTGTTTGACGACTGGTGATAGGTAAAGTGGGAGGGTTCTGTAATTAATCATACATTTTAAATTATGTATAATTAATAATTAATCAGATAATTTTATTCAACGAATATATTCTGATATATTTTGGAGTACGTTGCACTGGAGGAAACGAAGTAAATCTGTCCTACCCTCTCTATGTCAGAAACTGGGTATGCTCATGTACTAGACACTAACAAAGCCAGCAAGTAAGTTTAATGACTCGGTTCATTGTTACGAAGGATGTAATAAACTTGTAATTGTGACAAGTAGGTACATGCTTTAACACAAACTCTATCCGCTTATGGGAGCAATCTTGTGCGGAGAACACAGAATACTAGGCGTTTGCATGGCGTTTACTCATTTATATTCCTACCACGAGTATATTACGGGAGTCACTTCGATGCATGTAAATTACGACATGTTTATTCAACTATACATGCCAGCCTGCATTGGTAATGTGCACGAAGAGCTAAATCTAACTGATTTCTCATTTTTTAAACTCCAACCACAGCTATAAAAACATAAAGCATAAAATGCTTTGAGTAGATTTATAAGGACGTCAGTGTAAAATTTGGTAATGAGGTACGGTGTCTTTTTGACATTGATTTTGGACGAGTCTGTACATACATCTTTAAACATACATATAAGTGTTATTTAGACTCCGCTTAGAAAAGGGCTTTGAAAAGTATATATAGTATCGTGTCTATCCTACGGTACATATATTTCTAACAAAATAATGAGAAAAATAATTTTGACACATTTTAAGTATTTGGTAAGAATGAATAATTGTGTACCTGAGTAAATACTAGGTAAGTTTTACTATGCGTGATAACGTATGTTATAATTAAATACCTTTAAGAGAGTGTAATCACATTTAGAAAAAAATCAAATATTTGTGAACCTTCAAAATTCTCGTAGGTGTTAAATAGAAGCATAAGTGCTATTTTCTAACTAAGTCCTATTTATAATAATTTCTTTTTCACATTATATGACGTTGCTACTAATACACGTTTTACTCAGTTAACATCTAATTGTTTTTTTTATATCTTATCCTATGGTGGCAAACAAGCATAGGGCCCATCTGATGGTAAATGGTTACCGTAGCCTATGGACGCAACATTCTTAATATGTACTCGTGTTTGTTGAAATCTGGTGTAGTTCAATAATAAATGCAAAATATCATAGTATCAATTATTACCATACATACATAGTACATAATATTATATCTACTGTTTCTTTGTAAGTACTAAAATTAAAATTTAATTCAACCTGAATTATTAATTCAATAATTCTGTAATATTTCAATGGTTATTCTAATATTAAAAAGAACTGAGATCAATTTAAATTAATAAAGAACATTATAATTCTACTTGAAATGGTAACGAGTAGAGCCATGGGCGTCACAGTATGTCCTTCTTGAATAAAGGCTAGTCCTTTGTATGTGTAAGTAACATTTAATAAAGTTGACGTATATAAGTTTCCGAAAAAGTTTTACTTTATTTTATAAATAAATGGAAAAATTTATCAAAATAAATTTATGTAACTCACTCATGTCAACCATTGTGTCGATCTCTTTATCCGCCATTTCAATTGTTATCTAGAAGGCTTTCGTTACATACGATATAGACTTAAATGTCCAACATTGCACTAAACTGTATAAAAGCACTAGAAATAACACTAAATAATACAGAAGTGTTGAGAACAGTCCTGCGGAGTATGTACTGTCGGTTTGAGACGCGCAGTGCACCGGCGCGAGCGCGACGCGCAGAACAGTTTGTGCTGGCGTCAGGCGGCGTATGCGCACGCACTTCGCATACTAAAAGCTCGTCGCGACAATAATCGCAACGCCATCCCTCAAGCCTAATCTCATCAAACGTCAAACAAATTTGGGCCCATGTGTAAATATTCCACTAGCGTTATCGCCGCCAAATAAGACGCTGTAAACATTAAACACGTTTCGATTGTATTCCGTGCGCGTTTTTTTAAGATACGCCTAATCGGCGAAACTTTATGGTTCCTGAAAGTTGATAAGCTTTCGAACATGATGCCCTGAACTTAGCGATAACATGTTTGATAGCGGTGTATTTTATTTATTATTGTGTTCAATCCAATTATTAATATATATTGTTGAATTGACCAATGTACTTTGTTTTTAGTAAGTCAGTCAGTGAGATATACACAACTATTTTTCAGGTTACGCACACCTAAATTTTACTCTCATGTAATGCAATGAAATCATAATAAATTAATAATAACCGCATGCAAACTACTCTTGGACTTTACACATTAAATCGAAGTGAGACTGCGCAATACTTCCCTAATTGGTATTATATTAATATACAAATATATAGATAATTTTAGTATGATACGGAGACGTCAAAAGTACCGCCCTCATCACGCATATTTCGGAACAATGCATCTCTGGTTATCAGTTATCTTGAAGGGTCAGAGTTGCATCGACAAAGAGCAATGCTCTCCTTTTATCTCTTCTATGTCTCGATTGAGTTGTTTATGGTCATACATCATTAAGTTCATTTCCATATATTTATTATTTCCCAATAATAGAATTAAGTACGCACAGCTTTCTTCAGATAACATTTTAGAAATAACTGTAATAGAGTTATGTATCTGTTGTGAGTAATAAATATTGTGAGATAAATAGTCGTAAATTTGTATAATGATGGAACTATATTCCAATATAGTAATCATTATACAAATTTACGGATATAGGTACAAAATTGATAACATTATTTTATTGCTTTATTTTAAACTATACAATATAAGAAAACATCTAAATAACTACTTGATTCTTGATTGAAAGAATTAGAATTAGTCTCTCTTGACTTTAGAAAATGTATCTTAATATATAATTGCATAGCAATTGTTATAGGATTTATAGACTAAAGAGATAATTTACTCGTAATAAAGCAGAACCTAAAGTTTGAAAGTGCATCAAACAAAAGTAGGTAAAAATTATTTATATTTTGCATGATGTTAATAATACCTACTCCATCTGGATTCACTCTGGTTAATATTTATGTGTTGTAATAGAGTACCACCTACTCTTAGGTCTATTTAAATAAGGACTAGCTTAAAAAAAGAGCAGGACAAATGATTTAATATTTACATGTTTTAAATAATAGTGTATATAAACTCTTACCTACCTTTAAAAGGAAAGTTCTTTGGTCTCCTGCGTTTTACTGTATCTTCATCTTTGGGAGCGAAACGGGGAGGCGGCATTTTGGGTACTTCACTTGGCACGGATGTGACTTCACCTCCACCTGCCCCGCCCGTTGCTAGGTACCCTCCAACTGAATGTCTTCTCCGTCCTTGCAGCGGGATTGTGTAGAACACTTCTTCGCGCTCTTGTGTGTAACCTTCTGGAGTCAACACCTTTGCACTTATCTTGCCTTTTCTGCATTAATATAATAGTTTAGTAAAAATATTTCTCAACAGCATACTTACATTAAATAAAAATGTTGAAGCAATATTATTTTGAGAAGGCTTCTTACTTTATTCGTGGAGCAGTAAACGTATGTCTCATATCACCAGGTGCACGGTCTCCGGGTCTCGGTTGCCCTTTAAGGAATGCTTCAGCTTGCTCTGGCTCTCTAGCTGATAGTGAACGAAGAAGAGCGCGGAATTCCTTCCGTCTTGGGCTCTCAGGTTCCCTACGCCGCGGAGAACCCAATGATCTAACTGTGTCAGGCCAAACGCGACTTGGTGCCGACCGAGAATATGTTTCCGACGACGCGCCATGTGATTCTGCGCTATCAGTGAGGTCTTTGTCTGGTAGCGCAAAATAAGATGGATTATCTGAAACAAACATTATATACCTGTTTAATACATGTATGTAGTACTAATCTACTTAAGTACGTTACTCTTTATTCCCATTGTTAATTTACATTCAATTGTTTTATAATTGCTAGCATTAGTATACCATAAATATCAATTAAAATTATCTTTGTTCTTCTCTTATTAGGTTAGGCAGTAATCTAGATTAAGATATAGGGTCATTTACCAATAATCATAGTGGTACAAGAACAACAACGGCGTCCCACGATGGCTACCGCTCGTCGACTGTGCCTTGCGGGAATTATTCAATAACGCCAATGAAATAACGGCTCTCCATTACATTAGGTCCAGTACGGTCAGAGTGGAGCGAGCAACCTACTTTTGGAAGCCGGAAAATGCGAATTGAAAGCAATCGTCGCCCATAATCCACCCTGCCTAGACCACGCCGAGATAACGAATTTAAGTAAATACGTACCTTCTGTAAGGTAGGTATGAACTTAAGTTTTTAGATCCTGCTGTAGAAAATTCAAACAAACCATGCGCATAATCAATGCGCACAATTCCACGATTTATGTCTATTACATGTTAAGTGAAAATTCTAAAGTGATAGAACGGGAATTGTAATAATGGATTTAGGTAGAGCAAATTATAATCTATTCGTTTTGTATTTTTTGTCCAACCCGCATATGCGAAGCATATTAAATTCCACAATTTTCTACAGAAGAAGGGAGGCATAAAGGGACTTGTGGGAACATGTGGTCGAACATAAAAACAAGATGACACAAACAATACTACAATGATAATTCTACTTATTATCTGTAGCTAATGGTTGACTATTATCTGATATTATTTGTTGGATAATGGTGACATATATGACAATAATTGATAGCTATAATATCTACGCATGTGTCTATCATAAATTCTTATGGTAGTACTAATGAGCAGGTTTCTTTCTAATTTATGCAAAACACATATCCAGGAATTATTTTTGATCTACGTATAATATAAATAAATAATTATATACCTATATATATTTTACAATTATTACATTATATTGTAAAAAAATATACCTATATAAATTATTTTTAATAAAGTATAGGAGGGATGTTATATAAAAATGCTTCTTTTCCATCTAACATATAAAACATTTATATAATTTAGGAATTATTATATAAATATAAAACTAATTGTCTTAGTTAAAAATACATTATTCGACACTATTTCCATAAATTGTTGGACTACGTAATTAAGGAAGCAAGTCAACATCTGCCAACACACTGAGATAAATGTATAGCATCCGTTGTCTGATGAATCAATCACAGTTCTCGGAAATAATGTTAAAGATTCTCTATTACTTTTCTGAATAATTGTAGTCCGATCTTACGATTGAAATCTTTGGTAGAAATGACTAATTCAGACGCTCTTCCGTTCATATTAATCAATTTAAAAATTTTGATACTATGTTTAAAATTTGGAATTATAAATATAACAAAAATGTAATTAGTGCTGAAAATGCGTCTATATTATTATGTAATGTCAATAAATGCAATGAAAACTAACAATTTTAATCAATTCTTTTAATAAGTGTCATAATTAATCGAAAATCGTAATAATTATAATTGTTTAATTTATTTAAAGTAAAACATAAATATTTGAATTCATGAAATTGTATAGTGAATGCTTACAATTACCAAATTATGAATATACATAAATTTATAAACAAATATAAGATTTAGTAGACATATACGTAATACCTGAATAAGTAATAAAGATATATATATATATATATATACAACTTATAAATACAATGCAACCATTATTTGAACTCTATATGCAAGAAACGTACCTTATCTGCCGATGTTGTTAGGCCTGTATGTTATAAGTAGTAACTACTACTATACACTAGCTACTTAATATAGTCCCTGTAACCGTCTTACTTAACCTTATAGGTATAGGTAGTACCTACTCTATATATATAATATCTACTTACTATGACAACTATTTATTTATCTATAGATTTTGTAATACGTATACATTTTTATTACTAAAGTAGAAATACAAAATAGATATTATAGAATTACTGGATTAAAATTATAAACATCTAAGTATATTATTAAAGAAAAATGTAAAACAGCTAAAATACGAGCACAAAGACCAAAGAAAATTAACAAAGTTTCTAAAGATCCTCGGGCGAACTTTAGGGCGGCGGGCGGCCGAACTAACTTTGATAATAATGAGTAAGTTGAAAAGTGTATTGAAGACTCACTTGTAGCTCGCAGGCAATAGTCGTATTGGGGTCCCATGGTAACGAAGAGATCACCATAAACACGTCAAACACGACACATCCCGTCGAATGCGCGGCGGGCTCTGCGCTTGCGCTGCGTTCTATCTCATAGCGCGTTCGGAGCTCACGCAGGTGGATTGAGGCAAGCGTTGCTTAACTAACACGTGTGGAGCTTTCACAAGGAAGCTAAGCTTTCTTAGCACGCGCTAGCAGGAAGCGTCCCAAACCATGCGCACTCGCCCGCCAGAAATGTACGCTCACGAACAGGGGAGTCTGCGCCTGCTGGCTGCGCCCTCATTTAATATCCGAGTGTAGTACATCCGCTCCGGTAGCACACGTTAGGCGTTATGTTTGTAAATAAACCCCGTACATTGTTGATGTTTACTGACGCTCCGTCATTTTCGTTGCTGGCACTGTTTTACGCTTTGGGCGAAGGTAAACGAACACGTTAGGCGTGAAAATTATTGATTACAAATATTAGACGAATATAAAAATATTATTATCACCTACCGACAGTTAAAAATAGGATTCAGATTTCTTATTCGTATCTCACAGTTATTCGACTCGAGTGGCATCCCATTTAGGCAGAGTACACAAAGATTTAAATGATTGTTTAAAGTGTTTCAAAATACAAATTCAGGATAATTGAAAATTGATTAATAATGGAAACAAAATATTTACATTTTAAGAAAATATAAATCTACATTCCAAAGAAAGTGAACAATTTATGATATATTTTTATTATCAATAACTTAAGCAGATTGACAAAGTATGTTTTATTAAAAACTAACTGATCTCCCGACTTTATGCGATGTGGTAGGAATTCTTTTTGTTTTGTTTGTAAATCGATTAGAATAAAATAAACATTGAATCTTACCACAATAAATTAGTGAAATCCATACACAATTTCGTTTTCACTTGCAGTTTTTGATGTTAGCGTGCAAAAACGAATAGAAAAAGTCCCCCAATAATTGTTTTTCTAACCCAACTTTTATGTACTGTCTGTACAGATAGCGATCAGTTATATTTTTATTATATGTAAATATTGACAGATTATGTTGATTTTGGAAATGCAAAGAAGCTAAATAAAGAAGTCAACTTAAGTCTCAAGAAGTGTCGGTTAACTGTTGGTTTGCAGTCGTGCATGACAACGTATAACATTTTCAATCTCAACTTCTCGTCTCATTCGAAAAGGGAACATTTCGTTTCGGAATGTATTCTTAAATCAAACGCTTTGCTCTGGCTGGAAACTTGATCGTAACAGGTATAACGGAACAAGGAGTATAATGAATTATTTTTTATTAACCAAGAAGTGTGGTAACTTTATTATCTACCCTTATTAAAACATTAAATTATCAACTGAAAATAAATGTGTGGACAGGGTAGTAAGGTGTAATTTTATAATTGTTTATTACAACCTTCTGCCATCATAAAATGTTATAACAATTATTTTACCTGTTTTAAAATCGCAGTTGACGTCACAAACTAAACATAAAAATATATCGAGTGACATAAAATCGACCTCTCTGTCTGGAAATAAAAAAATATACCAGATGTTGAACGGCCTGTGTTTACTTGCATCTGCTGTAAAACAAAGCTTACTTTTGTACCACCACGGCTATAATCTTGACTATGGAATAACAAAGGGTATTGTGTATATCATAATATAGATACATATATAATCGTATATATTTGTATATAATTAACTATTTTTTCGTGACTGTTGTATTATTTTAACGGGATATTTTCCATGATAATATAATTTACGAGCTCCCAATATTTCTAATTATAAGTATACTTTTGTACCTAGATTTAAATGTCAAATTGTATCAATTCTCTTAGATTGTTTTTACTATAATTAATAATACTATACTATAATATTTATAGTAATTACATTTTCTTTATTTTTCCAATATTTGTAGTACATAAGACACGATAAACAAATGCCTTCTCTACCAGAAATCCGAGAAAGCGATAATTACTTAGGTTATAATACATAACCCATGTATAAAAGCAGATCTATCATAATCGCATCGTAAGTCTAAGCGGGGGAAGTCTGAGGCTTCAATATCGACGCGTGGAGATATATAGATTATTATTATTTAAAAGCGGTCATTGAAATAATCTTTTGTAAGCTCATAGTAATCTGCGGGTAATCTAAACTGCATGTTAATTAAAACGCACATGCAGGTCAAAACCCGTGAATTCAAAGTATTCTTGGAATGTGTTTGAGTTATTTTTGGCGGCAAATGCGTGCCGTTACTGTCTGTATTAAGTCTTCATTAGTCACTGTACTGTACAAAACGTCCACAATTGTGGACGTTTTTAATACGACATTATCAATTTACTATCCGATCAATCGAGCCAATCTGTTGGGTCCTGACAAATTGATAAAGAGTTTACTTGCACCGATGAAATTTTGGTTGTGAGTGAGGCCGACATATTGCTCTTATTTTGAGTTGGCCTACCTCAATTAAGAAGATTGACCCAACAAATTAGCGCACGATCGTGATCTAATACTTCCGTTGGATAGTATTGCCACTAAACTAGTTATGAGAGGTGATAGAAATTAAAATAAGCCCAAATTTCAAAAGAAAAAATGACTTAAAGTTATTTAAAAAGCACGTCGTCATTGATTATAGCGTTGCATAAGTTTAAACGAAGTTCGGTAGCATCGGTCAATCTATAGATGTACGGGTCCGTGAGCGCTCTGTGAGTGCTCTCGTTGAAAAATTTTATGTTGAACAAAGTGGTAACCTATGATATATTGTACACCAGATGTGTTAAAGTTCGATTAATACTAATGTATACCTATATTTTTACTATTCCAATGCTGTTGGCTGCAGCTGGCCTTCGAAACTTTACTGCACGAAAAGGGGTGGGGATACAGAGGGCACTGTAAACATGCGAAATTACTTATTGAGCATCTCTAGACCGACTTCTGCCTCAAAGATACTATTTCAGTATGAGGGAATGCTAGGAGTCCGAACCTACTTTACAATTAGATACAGGGATTTTTGATAATTGCTGACGAACTCATTAAAACACCAAATTATTGGAATGAAAATACTTCATTGTATATTTTTGATATGATAAGTAAAATACAATTTGTGGTGCAGAATAACGTACCTGCAGAAAATAGATCTCTCTTACACAACTCTCGATTTAAAACCAATACCAAGAAGGGTTTATACCTATAATTTTATTTTGGTTTCCCATATGACAACAACAGATATCATCTTATGACCAGAAATCTTTGGTTAGTGGGACGTTTAATGGTTTGTTATTTAATTATTTATTGATTTGTCGTTATGCGTATATTTTGTATCCATTGGTTCCTTAATCTACACAAGTAATATATTGTATTATATTATTATGTGTAGATAATAGTAACAAAATTTTGACAGAATCGAATTTCGATGAAGCCGAAATTAATTTAATTATATAACATTTAGTTAATGTTATATGCCTTTTAATACTATTATTGTGCACGAAACATTTTTTTAGACTTATATCTTTTTTTAAATATACGTTTTAAATACCTTTATCCTTTGTTCGATTATTGTCACTTTTTATATATGTCGTTTACCATCAGTGACCTTAGTTTTTCTTTGTATTAAAATTATTAATATACACTATACAGATCTTAAGAAATCTTAGTCGTTAGAAATTGTTGGAAGTGTATTTCACAGTAATTTTATTTATTAGTTTGAAAAAGACTAATGTTTTCTTTTTACAATAAAAAAGAATTACTACTATTTGAGATCTTGACGATTCAATTATAATTCAATCGAGTTTAAAAACAAGACTCCTGGGATGCTTACTTAGTCATGTTTGTAACTTTGTAATGCATAGCAGTAATATCACATAGTTTTATAGGTCGGCATACGACCATTGTACTTACATCTACTGCACCGACGGATTACAATTGGCTATTTCCTTTGGTGTCGAACCAATTTGCTGTGGAGATACCTACGTAGCTACGAAAATAAAGCTAGTAAGTACTTGTTGTTAAATGAGGGTAATCACACGATGTCGGTCTGTTTTCAACCGACTTTAAAATAAGAGACTAAATTCTGGTGTATAGCTAGAATCTCAAAATTTTGTTATCCTCTAACTTAAAACCGCATAATAAAGTGTAGATTAAAAAGTCCATTTAGGTACTGATATTACGCTTCTGTCTCCTGAACTGAGTTGTTTTATAATATAAAATAATGTACATAAACATATTTGAGACAAGAATTTCGGTATTATAGCGGCTTATCCTGGCATTATTAGGTACTGTAATAAAACTCTCAAAGTATAAAAAACTTTAAGACATAAAATACTTATTATGTACCTACATATATTATAGAAATTAGATAAGCGTTATTTACATATGTGTGTATAATTATGTTTGCATTACTAATATCTACTACTACTACTAGTATTACCTTAGCTAATTACAAAAAGAATCATTAATAAATGATTCCTTTTGTAATTAATAAGGTGTTTGTCATAAGAATTTGGTACGAGTGAGGTATTTTTTTGTGACTAAAATTATGAATCAACTACTGAATGTTCTAATACAAGAATATCCCGAAATTGGGAATACAAGCTACCTATTTCTAATTTAAACATACTAAAGGAAGATGTTTGTAGGTTATAGTAATTCTAAATTAGCTCTGCACTATCTCGGGGTTTGAGTACAGTACTGACATTAAACAGATTTCATGGTCTGCTTAATTCCATGTCCAAAGTTCATCGGCCAATCTGTTCGGATTAATGAATTCCAGACGCACAGACGTATTATGAAGCAGATCATCAGATCACGACCTACAAATTAGAACGTATTACGCACTTTTATATTTACCTAATCAATACAAATATTTTAAAGAGGAAACATTATGTGAGTTTATACAGACTACTTATTTTGAAAATAATTTTAGTGTTACATTGCACATTTATCGACAAAATTATATGCTATATAATATTACGATACTACCAATAGGAGATGCAATAAAAAAGCGATAATGTAACGCAAGTTATGTTGTGGGTAAACAAGTTATATGAGTACGCCGCGCCATAGGTAATATCAAATAGAAATTGTGTTTGCCTCAAATTGTAAGATATGTTACAGTATGTTAAAAATATTGGTAATAATTATATTGATAAATACATTTGCAGTGAAACTAGGCCTGTTTTTATTTATTTTGTAAGGGAAAACAGCCACGCACTACCTTTACTATTATGAG